AGTTTGACGTGTCTGTCTGTCTGTCTGTGGCATCCTGGAGCCTGAACGGGTGAAGCGATTTCAATTTTGCTTTTTTTTGTATTAAAGGTGACTTACGTGCGAGTGTTCTTAGACGTGTTTGGCGAAAATCGGTTGAGCCGTTTAGAAGTTATGGGCGGTTAGTGGGGAAGGGTAACCGAAGGTCTGCAAATATGACCCCCGACAAAATAGAAATGTGTAGTGTATAATAAAATGTTTGGATCGGTCCCCAACGCCACGTTTTCTACAGTTTATTACTTTTTAAAGGAATAGCAGACGTATTGTCGGGGGTTTTTTAAAATTTAAATTTATAATCTTTTTTTGTCTTTTTCCCAGAAATCCCAGTCTTCTCCTCAGGCCACGTCCCTCGTAGGCTTTTTGTAGTATTTTCCAAGTTCATACGCACTCTTCGCTGTACGAATATACGGGATTACAGTCGGTGTCACGGAAAGCGCAATGCGAGCTAACGCTTTGTCAACTTTCTCTCTGACTTTGTTTCGGCATTTCTTCTCAGAGTAGTCCAATGATAGGAAATGCCAACTTCATCTAGTTTTTTTACATATATTATAATGATTTATTATACGAAGAAAATTGAGATTGGTGGGTAAGGGATTGGCCTTCCGGTAACCTCACTCATATGGCGTAACGCAAGGCTGTGGTATCACTACGGTCCGAGACGACCCATTCGTGCCGAAGCATGGCTCTCCCATACTTTTTATTTGCATGTCAATTTTACGATCAATTCCTAATAAATAAGGTGGGGTCATTACTGCAATGCCCGCGTGCGCCTCATAGAGCCAATAGATCACCACAGACGGTGCCCTATAGGGCTGATGTTCAGTCAGGGGTTACGTGGTAAGCGCAATGAGGCACCGCGGCAGGAAAGGGAACGGGGGTTTTTGTCAGGTTTCTGCCGGGAGAAGTCATTTAATGATTTTAATTAAAAAGCTCTTCGATAGTAGACATTTTGTTGCTAATATGATAATAAAGACGGCAGAAGATACTCTCCACTGGGCAGGTCATGGATTTATAAACATTGTCGTGAAAGTGGCGTGTTTGCTTTATACGGAACATGTTTGATAAACTGATACAAGTTGTTGGAATGGAATAGGAAGCGTCCATCGTGTGTATTCAGATCAGTGATGCAGATAGAATTATTGAAAAGAAGTTCCTTATCGCGCAACGCGAAGGAGCTATACGGAAAATATAAGACGAAAAGTTTAACTACTTTTATCTCTCTCTCTCTCTCTCTCTCTCTCTCACACACACACACACACACACACACACACACACACACACACACACAGACACTGACACACACACAGACACACACATACAGACACACACAAACACAGACACACACACACACACACACACACACACACACACACACACACACACACACACACACACACACACACACACACACACACACACACACATACACACACGTTTTTCTATTTCACATTGAAAGATGTGGTGTTGCAATGTTTATATTTTTGTTGAGTATATAGAGACTACAGGTTTTTTAAAATTATAATGTAATTTAAAAAAGCTATAAGTAGTAGCTATAAAAAGTAAATGATTTTACTATAAAAAAGATTAAAACTTAGGGTAAGTAAATACCTAATATCCATATAAACTGAAAAGTCCAGGTTGGGTATGTCGCCGCTTGACCAGAACCAGACCCGAGCGTACGGCGCGTAGTGTTCCGCGCGCGCCTCAAAGAGCCAGTGCGTAGTGTACTGGCTCTTTGAGGTGCGCACAGATAGCCCAACAAAAATGATGTTGAGCCAGAGCCGCGGCCTCGGCCTAGAGCAGGAGAAGGAACGGGTGGAGGGGCGCTTTAATCAATAAGATTCTGACACTAACTCTCGCCATACCCTAAGCGAGAGAAGTCTTTTGTTGATTTTCGCTAGGTACACAAAAAAAAGGTTTCCTCACGATGTTTTTCTTCACTAGTGTATGTTAATAGAATCTAAATAATATTAGTACATACAACTCGGAAAAGTAACATTAGTGATTCTCCGCACCCGCGCCCTCGTGTATGAGAAGCGGGCCTTTTTAACCTATGGGCCACCAGGGCATTAAGTTCACATTATATTACGTAAAGTACAGGTAAAATGGTCACCAGTATGAACAGTGGCTTTAGTGTCAACAACATCGAATTTCAATGGTTTTCAAACACTTTACTTATTACGACAGTTTATGTCCAGTAACTGAGTTACCTTACTCCAAACAACAGTTAAGTCAACCGATTAAACGAAAAATCTAAAAAAAACTTACACTTTTTACTATTAATACGAAATAACTACAAAATAATTTAATAATACGACTATAAAAATCAATCTCCATTTTAATAATACGGAGTTCGTTTTTCGAAATTTGAATATTGAAAATGCGTTATTTCATATATTAAAATGTAAAATTAATAAAACGTTGTTTTTAAAATAATAATAGTAATGTATAACATTTGTTGTGTGCTTTTCATAGTATTATTAAGTTTTAAAAATATTTCGTCAGTGAAAAATAAAATTGAATGTGGTTATAAGGTATGTATTTTTTATTACATACATAGACATATTCAGTGCCGGCGTAAGGGCCACTGACACCGCGAGCGAAAATATCATGGCGCCCACTTGAGGGAAGCAATATCAAGATCTGATCACAAGTAAAATAAAAAATTGCAAATGCACAGAACGTAGAGCACAGTTCTGAGGGTGTTTGCACTAGGAGAGGTAAGAGACTCCAACTTCAGACCTTGGCGCCCCCCAGAATCTGTCGCCCTGGGCCATCGCCCCATCAACCTAATGCCGGCACTGGACATATTTAGTCATACACAAATGCCTAGCATTTGGGTTCGAATCCCAAATCGGAGATACTCCACTCACGTTAAAGTTATTTCGGCGAATTGATTCTGCCGTAACGTCTTGTGAAAAGTCGTAGAAAGCCATTGGACGTCACGGAGGGGTCACCAAAAATGACAAAATTGTAAAATATGTATTAACATAGCTACGGACTAACATTCTGCTCTTATGTACTTACCTATTTATTTTTATCCCTCACCACATACAACTAACTATCATCATCATCATCATCAGCGTATAAGTGACCACTGCTGGGCAAACGCCTCTTCTCTCACGGAGGAGGTTTGACATTTTATGCCATAGGTTGGCAAAAGGAGCAACCAAATCTCCTGAAGATAAGCAATCGGTGCCGCCAATAAACGCCAACATCAGGTACAAATATGTTACCGGTCTTCTGGGAGACAGGGATTTAAGGATGGGGAATTTCCGGATTGGGGATGAGGATACACAACGCAAGCATGGTTGTTAGCGTTTTTATATGAGGCCGTGATATCAGTCCTTGTAAAGTTCTGAAGGCAAGCAATATAGTGTGATGTTACGGTGATGTTTTCTTCTATAAAAAGAAAAGAAAGAAAGAAAACAGCATTCGGCTTGAATGGGTCGGCTCGTCCAGAGTGATACCACGGCCTCACAGAAAACCGGCGTAAAACAACCACAGCGTTGTGTTTCGCCGTGTGAGTGAGGTTACCGGAGGCCCAATCCTTCCCCTCCCCCAATCCCTCCTCAATCCCTAAATCTCCAAATCTCTAATCCCTAAAAGGTCGGCAACGCACTCGTAACTTCTCCGTTGTGTGTCCATGGGCGGCGCTGATTGCTTACCATCAGGTAATCCGTCAGCTCATTTGCCGACCTATTACATAAAAAAACATTTATTTTTGCAATTTGAAATGGGTCTGCTCGACCGTTACGATACTAAGGCCTTTAATAAAACCAGCGTGAAACAACCACAGCGTTGTGTTTCGCCGTGTGAGTGAGGTTACCTGAGGTCCAATTCTTACCATACCCAAATCCCTAAATCTCCGAAGTTCTAAACACCAAAATGACTGCAATACAGTCCTAACTTGTTGCGGGTATCAACACCAGAGGACCTTGTCTAGTATCATCATGGGCGGCGCTGATTGCTTACCATCAGGTAATCCGTCTGCTCGTCTATAGAACTTGGCACCTAGACTCCCTCAGTATTGTTCAGCTGGTGAATTGTGCTATTTTTGTTACAGCAATGTCCACAAACGAGAGACGGGGCCCTGAATGTCCATTTAATTCCACATTCTCACATGGACGCTGGATGGGTAAAGACCTTCGATGAATATTATTATGGAAGTGAGTATCAAGGTCAACTCGAACCACCTTTTTTGGTGAACTACATATATACATATACATTTGCTACTAAAACTCTTCTCTTCTTGGGACTCAAAGTTACCTACAGTCAAAATCATTTACTTCTAGTAGACCCTCACAGGTATTTTTGAACGTCAAAAAAACCTTAAAAATAAAAAGTGTCAGTCTGTCGGTCAGTCCTCTTAGTGAAGCTAGGTGCTCATTCCAACTTGGAGAACAACAGCCAAGAAACTCCATCGTTACTCCTTAGGAGTCCTTTAGTGGATTTTAAGAAGTTATCGATGTGTGATATAATTTAGTGGACTGAAATATCATGGCATCATAGTTGAGGAATTGTCGAGCTTCAGCCCGTGAGTCCTGATCTTATTACAGTGAGAACTACCCGGATGACAAGGTGGAGCATACGGTGGCGGTGTGGGAAGTAAAGTGATCCGATGATTAGGCCTTAGTCGAGACCATGGCGGAATGCGAGGAAGCCGTCTCCTCGTTATGCTCGCAAAAGAGAAGGCAAAGTGCGTAAGGGACCTATCCACCTCACGCCCCAGCCGCTGCAGTAGGAGCACTCCAAGTGTTGCGGATTAGACGCCTTAAAGACTGTCTGACTGGCTGCACGGTTGGCGCGGTGCGTGGGCAACTGGCTGCCGCGCAACGTGTCGCGATTTCGATTCCCGTACGAAACAGCTCTTTGTTTGATCCACAAACTGTTCTCGACCTGGGTGTGATGTGTATGTGAAATTGTTTGTTTGTGGCACCCACAACAAATCCTAGTGTTGGGCAATGTTAAAAAAAAGAGCCAACAGGCCGCCACTAATGGGGCCTAATAGGGCTGATGTTCAGCTGGGTATGCGGGTCAAGCACCATAATGCACCACAACTCTGATCTGTAACAGGAGAAGCAATGGGGTAGTATTCAGTAAGAATAGGATACTGCCTCCTGCCCCACTCGGGGCGAGGGGAGTTATGCGATGATTTTCCAAAAAAAGATGCGAAAAAAGGATCTTTGTTAAGAAGCCAACACACAAATGCTCGGTTCTCCATCTCTAGTGAGTATTCTAATGTTCTTTGTTTGTTTTACAGCGAAAACTTCAGTGAGTACAGCAAATGTTCAACTCATCTACCATTCCGTGCTTTCCGAGCTATTGCACGACAAAAGACGAAAGTAAGTTTTTAAGACTACGTATACAGAAATGGCAGTATCTAATCAGATTATCATTTTTGAATCTTTTTTTTATGATAGGTCGACAAATGAGCAAACGGATTACCTGATGGTTAGCAATCAGCGTCCCCCATGGACGCGTGTTAACGACGGAGGAGTTACGAGTGCGTTGTCGACCTTTTGGGGATTAGGGATATGGAGATTTTGGGAAAGGGAACGGATTGGTGTAGGGGAAGGATTGGGCCTCCGGTAACCTCACTCACACGGCGAAACACAACTCTTTGGTTATTTCACGCCGATTTTCTGTAAGGCCGTGCTACCATTGCGGTCGAGACGACCCATTCGTGCCGAAGCATGGCTCTCCCATACTTATCTATTGTCAGTTTGTAAGTACGACAGCCGAGGTCGCGGGGCTGGCACTCAGCCGAGTTTGTAGGGCTAGCGCACTAAGGTACCGCGACCTCGGCCTAAAGCAGATGAAGGAAGAAGGGACTTATAGAGAATTAGGGATTTTGTAAAGAATTTTAGGATGAAGCAAGTCAGTAAGGGTCTGACACTCCCTCTCGCAAGGCGCCTTAGGCAAGAGAAAACATTGTGAAATTTACTCCTATTAAAAATTTAAGCATCTTGCTTCTACCTCTTAAAAGGAATGAAGACCTTACGTAAAGAAGTCAATTGTTTTCAGTTGACGCAAAAATATAAGTATTATTGATCATAAAGAAAATAAAAAACAGATAAGCTTTTGATGAACCAAGCTTTTATCAATAACTAGCCCTTACCCGCGGCATCGCTCTCGTCATTTGACTACCTGCCCTGTTCTACCTACCCTATTCTACCTACCGTACTCTATCTACCCTACTGTACCTACTCTATCCTTTCCTATGTCCTTCTCCCAGTTCTTAGCTACCTCCCTACCAATTTTCAGCCAAATCGGTTCAGCAGTTCTTAAGTTAAAAATAGTGTAACTAACACGACTTTCTTTTATATACATAAATATAGATATCGAAAAAAAATTGTTTATTTAATCCTAGTTTAATATAAAATAAATTTCATTTGCATCTCAATGTCAAATCGCATCTTTTTTTTTCTTTATTTAATTTAGGGACTTTTTAGACACTTTACAAGTGTACCTACATGCCAGTCCCATCGGACCTTATATCCAATACATTAAATATGACTAAGCTATACAGTAAATCGCAACAAAACAAAATTAATCAGACTATAAGCCCTTTTAGAGTTCGGCGTTGACAAAATAAACTCAATTTTTTTTCATCTTTCTCCAAGGTTCACCTTCTCAGAGACAGCCTACTTCTGGCGCTGGTGGAAGGAACAGCGTCCTACCACCAGAGCCACCTTCAGGACCTTAGTGCAGGAAGGTCGAGTGGAATTCGCTGGCGGAGGCTGGGTGCATAATGATGAAGCTACACCGGACTACCTTCACATAATTGACCAGTATACTTGGGGTTTGAGGTAGGTACAGAAGCCGGGATTGCGGGGTAAGCGCAATTAAGCACCGCGACCTCGGCCCAGAGCAGGAGAAGGAACCAGGGGGTCAGTAAGAGTCTGACACTCCCTCCTGCCTGGCCCTGGGTGGAAGTAGTCATTCTATGATTTTCCCCTCACAAAAAAAAAGAAAAAATAGGTAGATTCAGAAACATTTTTTCATTGTTTCATTGTTTTATGAGTGTCGTAAGTGCCAAAAACTGTAAAGGAGACTGCTAGATTTAGTATGGACCAAGACAGCGATTTTATGAAATCAATGGCAAAGGACAGTAAAATTTATCTGCACTTTGTCGTTGAGATATAACAGAAATCTAAATCATTAGCACGCATTTTGAGGTTATAGTTTTGTGCTATTATTTGACATAAGTAAATGAAAAAATAATTAAATGTGATATAAGTAATAATTTAATCCCTAAAACCAATATTTTTCCTTCATACGCATTATTAGCAGGATTGGGTATTCTGCTTTTAATTCTTCTTTTTTGTCAAGATCCGTGCAGCAATGCTTTTTAATAGACAGATCCGCATACTAAGCACAGACATACTTGTTTTTTCAAGTGACAGTTCCTCAGAATACCCTCCGTGATATATGCGACAGAGAACAAAAAAGCGAGGTTACATCCCTACGCAGTGCCTAAGAGTCCAGCCGAACACTTTTTGAACCATTTGGCCTTTTGCCTTATATATTATATACCATAAAAATAAGGGCATTTTATTACAGGAAACTGAACGACACTCTAGGACCATGCGGCAAACCGAAGGCAGCTTGGCAGATTGACACTTACGGTCATACTAGAGAACAGGTCTCTTTGTTAGCACAAATGGGGTACGATGGACTCTTTATAGGTTAGTTCTTTATATATTTAGATAAGGTATAGGGTTGGACCTCATCTTGCAGCACGGAATCGCCTTTTCCCGTCGCCCTTTCTCTTTCTGTCGCTTAGAATTGCCATTTGCGGGACCAAGACAGAAAGCATAAGGCAATATAGCACATGGCGGAATCCTTGAGACGATCGGCTTATGTTTTCTGTCTCCAGGTCCAACACTTATTGTTCCTAGACGAGGGAAACAGTGATACTAACAGGACATGTGATTTGCACCAATCATAAATTCTTTAAGATGTGTGGGACTTCTCAATTGCAACTTTCCGCAGCTTTTTTGGGGATTTACAAAAGACTTTTGAACATTATAAATTTATACGTCACGATGGCTGGTATTCTGAACCAGAGTCTTGAAATGGATCGTTTTCTGCTTCAGACAGACCCAAAGACTTCTGTATAAGAAAAAGCATCTTAAATGGCGATATTATTCTCTTTCGGAAGTCTGTGTTCTCTTCAAGGCTCGAGTGTGCTTCATCGTAAGTCGCGTCATCCCTCACATTTTTTTTGCCATCAGGTCGAGTGGACCACAAGCAAAGGGAAGCTATGATAGAAGAGGATAGAATGGAATTCATGTGGCGGGGGTCCGATGTGTTAGGTAAAGATCGTTTACATTTAATTATTTATCTAAACCGATAGATCATTTAACGATTTTAGTCCATTTTACTACGACGAGCAAAGATTAAAAAAGAATCAAATTTTCGGTTCGTTTATTTAGGAATCTACAATGTCAACCGATATGTGTGTGTGAGCAAAATTGAGACAGTGATTGAGATCCATTGATGATCATGATCCATTAAAATCCTTATATATCTTTGTGGTTGCCCGGAGCTGAAGAGCAATCAGTTCCGCCCAAGGACACTCGCAACTATGGAGGAGTCGCGATTCCGTTGCCAAACTTTTGGGATTACGATTTCGGAGATTTAGGGATTGGGGAGGGGAAGGATTGGGCTTCCGGTAACCTTACTCACATGGCGAAACACAACGCTTTGTGTGTGTTGTTTCACGCCGGTTTTCTGTGAGGCCGTGGCATCACTCCAGTCGAGAGCCGACCCATTCGTGCCTAAATATGGCTTTTTTCTTTTCAGGTAAAATGTCGGACATAATGACACATACTCTGTTCAATCTATACAACGCTCCTGATGGGTTCTGCTTCGATTTCCTCTGCAACGACGAGCCTATTATAGATGATCCTGACAATAAAGTCTACAATGCTGATAAGAGGGTATGTAGAGTGAATTTAATTTTTGTTTTCTTTTTATGTTTTTTTTTTTATGTTATAGACCGGCAAACGAGTCTGCGGATTACCTGATGGTAAGCAATCAGCGCCGCCCATGGACACCCGCAACGGAGGAGTTACGAGTGCGTTGCCGACCTCTTAGGAATTGTGATGTTTTGGAGATTAAGGGATTGGGGAGGGACCGGGGGGGGGGAAGGATTAGGCCTCCGGTAACCTCACTCACACGGCGAAACACAACGCTGTAGTTGTTTCACGCCGGTTTTCTGTGAGGCCGTAGTATCAATCCGGTCGAGCCGACCCATTCGTGCCGATGCATGGCTCTCCCACAATTAAAAGGATCGCTAACGAGCTGACGGATTATATAATGGATACCTGCAACACCAGAGGAAGAACAATATGTTGCCGGACTTTTAGGGATTGTGGTTTCAGACATATAGGGCATAGACATATAGGGGAGGGATGGGAGAAGGAGAAGGATTGGGCCTTCAGTAACCTAACTCACACGGCGAACCAGGCCATGGTATCAATCCGTAGAGCCGACCCCATTCGTGCCAAAGCATGACTCTCCCACTTTCTACACACCACCTAAATACTTGATAATCGCCTTGTGATGTCATCCGTTGAATGTACGATAATAAAAAATAAAACAATCCCTGTTAATCAAAATTATGTTTTCAGGTAAACGATTTCATATCCCAAATTGAAAGACAAGCGAAATACTACGATCATGATAATATAATGGTGACGATGGGAGGAGATTTCACCTACCAGAGTGCAGCCAACTGGTTCATGAATATGGATAAACTTATCAAGTAAATACTGTTAAATATATTCTATAACATATGTGTAATATATTTTACTAAAGATTATGAGTTGGAAATAATAGAAGACCAATAGACGAGTAGACTAAAAGACGATGAGTAGACTTCCTGAATAGCACACGGGTAAATGAAAACTATCGTGTTATGTGAAAATGTTAACTATCGTTAACGGATAGACTATAAGATTGGTAGACCAGAAGACTAGTGGACAAGAAGACTAGTAGGCAAGAAGACTAGTAGACTATAAGATTACTAGACGAATGAAGATAGTTTTTTTTTATACGTTGCCCTTACATTAGTACTTTGTCCTGTGTCGTGGGTGCTTTACAAACATACAAATTCACATACACATCACACCCAGACCCGGAACAACAATTTGTGGATCACACATAGAGATTGTTCCGTGCGGGAATCGAACCCGCGACACGTTGCACAGCAGCCGGTAATGCCCAGCCACCGCACCAAACGTGCAGAATAGAAGTAGACAAAAATATTTTTTTTTACAAATTTATAATATATGTCCTACCATACCTTTACAGCCACGTCAACACTCATCCAGCTAATCTATCAGATATTAATATTTTCTATTCGACGCCATCTTGCTATTTGAAAGCTATATATCTGTATGGCAGGAGAGATAAGGCTATGTATACTGAAAAAGTAAGTATTATATCAACTATTCAATGAAAGGGGTAGGCACAAGGAAAAGTGTTATCGCTTCAATTGTACAGATCCATTACTGAGAATAGTATTACGCAAGAAACTGGAAAAACCAGCTAAATACTCAACCCGGCCCAAGAAGCGAAATCTTGTAGCTAAACTGATGATGATGATGATGATGTCAGTAAACAAGCAGATGGATTACCTGATGGTAAGGGATTGGCGAAAAGTCATGATGGCCCCAAGGTTAAGGCGCCCGCTTCTCATGCGTTAGGGTGTGGGTTCGCAACCAATGTGACTTTTCCCGAGTTATGTGTACTTTCTATCATTATTTAGACGCCACTGACATACGGTGAAGGTAAACATCGTGAGGAAACCCGAACTTATAATTTCCAATTATAAGTTTGAAACAACCAACCAGCATTGAGCAAGCGTGGTGATTAATGCTCAAAACCTTCTTCTCCGTGTGAGATGAGGCCTTTGCTCAGCAGTGGGCACTTATAGGCTGATGATGATGATGATGATGATGAAGGGATTGGCACAGCCCATGGACACTTGTAACACCAAAGAAGGCACAGAAAATATACAGAAAAGAAAATAGGTGGTCTTATTGCTAAATGCCATTTCTTACAGAAAACCTTTGGATGGATCCAGTTATTAGGATTCGGGAAATAAGTTCGTTAAGTGTACAACAATAATACCTTTTGTGGGCTGTTAGGGATTTAGAGATTAATGATGTGTAGGGAGGAAAGATTGGGTTAGGGGGCGTCCATAAACTACGTGAGGTGTTTTTTTTTAATTTTCTGCCCCTCCCTCCCTGGTGAGATATCGTGAGATTTTAGTTAACCCCCTCCAACATCCCAGAATCTCTCGCGAAATTTTTCAAAATATGAGTTTTTTACGTAAACGCGTTGGATTGTTATTGTAAAAAGAAAAAAACTAATTTGCATCGTCCTTTTATTAGTAAATGATCTTAATCGTACTACGACAACGCATGTACAATCTGGATTAAATAGGGCAAAATAGTATAATTTTTTTTTGTTCTTTTTTCTGACCAACGTAAGATTAGATGAGATTTGACTCGACCCCTCCCCCCTATATAATATATTATTATTTCTTCAAGATGTTTTAATATTTCAGGATGACCAATTGCCCTACGGTAGTGATTCAATGACGTACTGGACCGGCTATTACAGTTCTAGACCAAGTCTCAAATACTTCGCGCGACGAGCTCATGTATTTTTGCAAGTAAGTTTACAATGTGAACAATCCGAAATTAAGAACTAAAATTACAAAATGGAAAACTACAGAATATCAAGACAGAGATTCAGGAATCTATACACAACACAAAACCATATTTAACACACCTTGACGTAAAAACTGCAGTTTCTGCGGAACTGGATCCTGTAGGTTATTCAACTTAGCATGATATAACAGCAGTAATACCATGTTTGGGCGCACATGAACACTTGCAATCCCAAATCATCATATCCCTCCGTTGGGTTATAAGGGATTTAAGGGCAGGGGATTTGAAGATAGGGTTAGGGGGGGATGTGGAGGTTTGAGTCTTTCCTAACCTCTTTCATACGGCGAAACACAACGTAAATGTTGGTTCACGCCGCCCATTCGAGCCAAAGCATGGTTCCCCCACACTTAAAAACAATAATTATCGTTTGCACTTAAATTTATAATGGGATTATCTCATGAAAAGAAGGTTCTGGTTACCCAATGACAGTCAGCCAGCTTCTCGACATCTTCAACATAAGAGTGTTTAAAATGTGTTGACGACCTTCGTAAAAAACATTCGACCCTTTTTAACCTAACTTATACACAACGACATTTCTTACATTTCTTTCATGCCTGTTCCTCTCTGAGGCCGTGATAATTTTTTTATATGTAATAGGTCGGCAAACGAGCATACGGATTACCTGATGGAAAGCAATCAGCGCCGCCCATGGACAACCGCAACGGAGGAGTTACGAGTGCGTTGCCGACTTTTTAGGGATTAGGGATTTGGAGATTTAAGAACTGGGGAGGGATTGGGGAAGGGGAAGGATTGGGTAACCTCACTTACACGGTGAAACACAACGCTGTGGTTGTTTCACGCCGGTTTTCTGTGAGGCCGTGGTATCAATCCGGTCGAGCCGACCCATTCATGCCGAAGCATGGCTCTCCCACACTTTAAAAGATATCAATCCAGTCGAGCCAATCCGTTCACAATAAAGCCTGGGTCTCCTACGTGACGACTTAATCTGGATCTTACAACCATTTCTAAAAACAGACTTCTAATCTTGTTATTTTTATTCCAGGTAGTAAAACAATTGACGGTGATCGCTAGATTAGGTGATTCATACGAATTACATCTCCTAAGACATGCTGTAAGCCTAGTACTGCATCATGATGCAATAACAGGTTAGTTATTAATGTATAATATCATTGTATCATGGGATTCAGGTACATGCTTAGAATATGCAAGTTCTTTGGTAGATAATGGTTACAAAAGTAGGAATGTATTCGAGTGTAAGTGTTCTGAAGAGCTAAGCACCAAAGGAGACCTACCTATAGAGGAGGAACGATGTGGTTTTTATCCAGTAAGAGTCTGACACTCCCTTAAGGCGTCGTTCTAATTGGGAGCTATCGTAAGATGACGCGATGCGTTCTCATCGTGCGATGAGTTCAAACATACACATTTGATCAGAGTATCCTATTTGAACCTCGCAAGTGATCGTTCGAGCACATGAAATGCTTAAAAACGATCCTACGATGTGTTTGATCGTTCCATCACAATGGGTTTTTTAAAGTTGGTTATTTTATGAATACAATCGCTACGTATTCCATTGCAGATGTAGATAGTCAAATGTTTCTTTGGACATGGACAAATACCTAATCGTAAAAATTTTCATAGTTATTTCGTACATCAAAATAAAGGTTGAAAAATTGGATCTTGGATCTATAAAGTATTTTATGTTGCCTACGTTTCCTATTTTCAATGTCTTTTGCAATTTATTTTTAAAGCAATATTGCCCGACATAAAAAACTGTACATCTCTGTTAAAGTAGCGCCAGGCAGCGTGCGACAGCATCGCGCGATCTATTAGGACATCTGTGAAGGTCACCGTACGACCACTTTGATCGTGCGATGAAAAATACATCGCGTCATCGTACAACCGCTCCCAATTAGGGCGACGCCTAAGGCCTCTGAAAACTTGCACACAGGGCGGATGAAATAACTTGATGATTCCCCCGCTTAAAAAAATCGGAGAGGAGATGTTATCCATTATGTAGCTGGATATGAAGAACTGAAAATAAAAGTTACAAAAGGATGACATTTCCCAGGGCCGGGCGGGAGGGAGTGTCAGGCTCTTACTGTCTAAAAACTCCCCTTTTCCTTCTCCTGCTCTGAGCCGAGGTCCCGGTGCCTCATTGCGCTTACCCCGCAACCCCGGCTGAACATCAGCCCTATAGGGCTCCGTCTGTGGTTGTCTATTGGCTCTTTGAGGCGCGCGCGGAACGCTACGCTCCGTACGCTCGGGAAGTTCAAAGATTAGCTGAGGTTCTTTATTAGAAAGTTTGGATTTTTCAACCCTTATCTTCCCCGCATCCTTGGCAACCCATTTCACGAGGCGCAGTTAGCTTTTCTCAGTAATTTCGCGTGAGGAATCAAGTTTGAACTCATTAGCTATTATAAGGACCATCTTTATTACGAGGACATACGTAGATAACCTTAAAAGGGTCTTTCTTGTTCTTTTTCTTTTTTTGCTAAGAATTTATTTCTTACATATATCTGACTGTCCTCTATTCAACAGGCACCAGTCAACAACATGTTACTAATGATTTCGTCAGAATTCTCAATGAAGCCATCGATGCGTGCACTAAGAAAGTTTCCAATCTGCTCAGGTAAGATAAAATGGATTAGAAAATTGTACTTCCAATTAATCTCCGAAACGCTAATCCCCAAAAGGCCAGCAACGCACACGTAACTCTTCTGATGCGAGTGTTCATGGGCGGCGTCGATTGCCTTTCATTAGGTAATAAGAAAACTTGCCGTTATACCAGTTTCAAAAAAAATGTTTAAAAACGAAAATAAATTTATGCTGCCACACCAAACGAGTGGAGGATAATCTGATGGTAAGCAATTTACAAATCCTCCCCTGTATCGGGTATACAACACCAGGAGAATTCGCTACTAGTTCGATGCCGGATTTTGGGTAGAGTTTTGGAGATTGAGAAATTGTGGAGCGATTGGGGTACCTAGGATAAAAAAGATAGGGCCTCCGGTTATCTCAGTCACACGGCGAAACACAACGCTGTGGTTGTTTCACGCCGGTTTTCTGTGAGGCCGTGGTATCACACCGGTCGAGCCGACTCATTCGTGCCGAAGCTTGGCTTTTCTATACTTAATCTATATCTACATATAAGTATACTTATTTAAAAATCAATGCCACTTTTCGTTGTAAAATTCTAACTCAACAATGCCTTAACCGATTTGGCTAATTTTGGGTCTTGAATTATTCGCGAAAACTCAGAAAAGGTCTACATGATTAAAATATTTAAAAAGAACCTTGAAAAGTGTTACATCGACATCCACGCGTGCGGAGCCGCGTTCGACCACTAATCGTCTTTAATAATTTCACTTAAATTACTTATCTAAGTGTTTGTTTTCCAGCTACTTAACTCCAACTTGGGGAGGTAGTCGGAGGACGAAGAATAACCAACAGTTTGTGATATGCCATCAGCTAAACATGAGCCAATGCAGAGTAAGTATCAACGTTAGTAAAGCTGTGGACGAACATTTTTAACCCCCTACGGGAAAAGAGGGGTGTTATAACTTTGACGTGTCTGTCTGTCTGTGGCATCCTGGAACCTGAACGGATGAAGCGATTTCAATTTAGTTTTTTTTTTGTATTAAAGGTGACTTACGTGCGAGTGTTCTTAGACATGTTTGACGAAAATCGGTTGAGCCGTTTAGAAGTTATGGGGGGTAAGTGGGGAAGGTCTGCAAATTTACTCGAGTTGGGCCTCAAATAAAGGCGCACTGCAAGGCAATGTTGATGACTAAATCGAAAGAAAATGATATAAAATACCTATGAAGTATAAATAAAAAAATAAATTAGACCCCCGACAAAATAGAAATAAGTAGTAGAAAATAAAATATTTGGATCGGTCCCCCAACGCCATGTTTTTTTTTTTATTACTTTTTAAAGGGATATTAGCTTTTTTGTCAGATTTTTTTTTAATTTTAAATTTATTAAATATCTATCACATCGAGATGTGTGAACTGGTAGAACATTTTTATGCAAGATGGGCAACGCGCCTGTATCTCTTCTGGTGGATGGCCACGTACCATCAAGTTAAGTAATCCGATTGCTCGTTAATCTACTGTTCGTTAAAAATCATTCTTAAGTCCAGAAACGAGCAGACAAATTACCTGATGGTAACCAAACGGACAAGGAAGGACGAAAGACATTCGAGATACCAAAGGGGTTACTACAAGGGCGTTAGCGGCCTCTTGTCGGTAATTTAGGATTGAGAATTTGAATATCGAAGATGGGGGTTTTGGGATTGGGCCTCCGGTAACCTCACTCACGCGACTTCTTCACGATCCGACATTATTTGCGAAATAACGAATTACACAAAAAGACAAGAAAACACCGCAGACACGTTTTATAGTATCGAGTGTCTATCAGAACTAGACTCAGGTAATCTATCTATACGTATACATATATATATAGATATGTATAGATTTTTCGGATTTCCAAAATTCCTTCTCTGATAGATAGCTGCAATGATCCTGAGTGTGATGTGTAAAAGTATAATTTACCATAATTTGCTATACCTAACTAGATATTATATAGTTTACAGAGAATCAAGAATCTATGCTTCTCCTGGTCTATAACCCGCTCAGCGTAAAGACCTATCACCACGTTAGACTGCCCGCCATCGCTCTCCACTACACCATCAGGGATTTCAATGGTGATGTCCTGAAACATTTTTTATGTGACATGGCGTGTAATGAGCAGACGGATTTCCTGGTGGTAAGCAATCGGCGACGCCGATAGAAACTCGCAACATTAGAGTTTGTCCAAACAAGTTGCAAGTGCGATGTCGGCCTTTTGGAGATAAGGGGTTTTGGGGATTTAGGGATTGGGGTGAATTTTGTCTATTAGTAATTGGTATTTGAAACTTTAAAAGCATTTACTAGAAACGGTCCTTAGATAGTTTTTTTAATTCCATTTATAAAATAAGCATTTGTGAGCACCGTTGACATAATACGATTATCTATACTAATATTATAAAGTCTATACTTCTATACTAATATTATAAAGAGGTAAAATTTGTAAGTTTGTATGTAGGAGGTAATCTCTGGAACCGCTGGTCGGATTAACAAAATTCTTTCACTGATAGATAGCTACAATGTTCCTGAGTGCTATAGGCTATAAAACAACAGAGCTGAGCAGCGAGTGGAACAGCGTGAGAGTAGCTAGTATGTCATATGGCGTGTAACGAGCTGACGGATTTCCTGATGGTAAGCAATCGGGAGCATCCATGGACATTCGTAACACCAAAGTATTTCGGAGGTTAGGTTTTAGGACATTTAGGAATTATGGTGGTATTTTTTATGGAATAGGAGTCAAACGAGCAGACGGATCCCCTGATGGTAAGCTATCAGCCCTGCCCATGGACACCTGCAACACCAGAGGAGTCACAGGCGCGTTAACGACCTTTTAAGTAACTCCTCCTTTGTGGGTGTCCATGGGCGGCTCTAATTGCTTACCATCAGGTAATCCGTCTGTTCGTTAACCGACCTATTACATAAAAAAACATTATGGAACAAGCATATATACGAAGAAATACAAAAGTTACCTAAATATCAATTATTATACCACAATTTCATGTTTCTTGCGAAAATAGGCAAGCTAATCACAATAATATTAAGAATCAAAATGATGTGAAGATGATAATACCTTTTCTTTTATACAGATGAGGAAGTGGAATACCAGCTAGTACCACTACCAGCAGCAGTCATCAATCTACCAGGGAGATCCTCTACAGCAATCCAAGAGTTGTGCTTTGAAGCTGAAAACATACCTCCATTAGGATTTACTGCATATTACATAGCTCCGGTCAGAGATCAGTTGGTCAGTATTCTGAGCTGGATCTTGATCCTTGCTCTTTTTATTTGTCATTATCATCATCATCAGCCTATAAGTTCCCACTGCTGAGCAAAGACCTCTTCTCATACGGAGAAGGTTAGAGCATTAATTACGAATCACCACGCTTGCTCAATGCGGGTTGACGATTTCAAACTTATAATTAGAAATTATAAATCCAGGTTTACTAACGATGTTTTCCTTCACCGTATGTCAGTGGTGTCTAAATAATTATAGAAAGTACATATAACTCGGAAAAAGTCACATTGGTACTTGCCGGGTTCCGAACCAACACCCTATGCACGAGAAGCGGGCTTCTTGTATTTGTGACTTGGAAAAATCATCAAATAACTGCTCAGGCCAAGGGTGGGGGCGGGGGAGTGTCAGACTCTAACTGACTTAACACCAGCCCGTTTCTTCTCCTGATCCCGGCGAGGCCGCAGTACCATGGTGTTTTAAGAAGAGGGAGGACGGCTTTCCTCTCCTTTAGTATAGCGATACCGATTTTTTCAGTTATCCTACCATGATAAGATTATACCCGCTTCTTTTTTACTGATGGTGGTCTGCGGTGATGTTTTCTTTACACGCGACCCGCCCCGGCTTTTTAAATATTCAATGGATGTTATTATTAAAACATCCTCTTCAGTAATACGTTAGTTTCCAACTAGTCAAATACAATACTTTATTCCGGACGTCAAAAACGATACTTTTCTATGAAATTTGTATGAAAAACTGAGTTATGACGTCATAACACTTTTGCGTCAAATAGCTTACTTATTTCTTAATAATTAGCTAAAAAAATCTAAAACTTAGTGTATCGATCGATCGATGATTAAAAGTATTGTTATTTTTCAATATTTCATTGTATTGAAACGTGTCGAATTAATTTATTTTTGACCTAGGAAACTACCCAATTATCTATTCTATCCATTAGAAAAAGTGCATCACAATCCGTTGTATATCCGTTTTAAATATTTAAGCATACATGGGGATACAGGGACAGAGAAAGCGACAAAATTTTTGATTATGTATTGATATTGAAATCTATTATTAATATTCGCAGGAGGAGAATGAGTTCGCGAAAAAGTTTTCGAAATCAAATCAAGGGAAAATCGAAGCGGAACAGGAGATCATACCTTTTATATCCAATGAGGTAAGTGTATTAGGGGGTGAACGTAAAGCCGATCATTGACCACATTATTTTAATACAGTCAAGTCATAATATACATATTATATTGCCCCATTTAAGTCAAACGAAGCCATTAATCATTTAATTTAACTAGAGTGTTTAAGGTACTTTTGAACGACAAACAAAAATAAAGATAAGAAATGTCTTTCGGTCTAAGTCAAAGTCAAAGTCAAATCATTTATCTCCACTAAATAGACCACAACAGGCACTTGGTAGTCAAATAAAAATAAATACATATTAAAAAGTTTAAGTAGTGTGTCAATCTATTGGTTGGTCCTCTAGTAAAGCTATTTGCTCGTTTCAAAGTGTAGATTCTTATGGAAAATACTTTTGGTCGGTTACACTTTTTCAAGCAGTTTCACAATTCATTTCTTTGTTGCATCATTTAATCGGTTCTATTATGTGAGAACAGTGTACCTAAAACTAATGTTTATTAGGCAAGAAATCCGAAATAGAAATAAGCATCAACGACAAACATTTATTTAGGCAGTCTAAGTGAAACTGCTCGTTCCAAAGTGTAGATTCCAAAGGAGAAGAACAAGCAAGAAACTCCATGGTTACTCTTTTTAAATCTTTTTCACAAACTCTATGGTTACTCTTTTTAAATCTTTTTCACAAACTCTATGGTTACTCTTTTTAAATCTTTTTCACAAACTCTATGGTTACTCTTTTTCTATCTTTTTCACAAACTCTATAGTTACTCTTTTTCAATCTTTTTCACAAACAGATTCTTTCTTGTCTTAATCACATTGCAAGATTTGAACTTTTATTTATTTATTTATTTATCATCCTTAACACTAACATTACAGACTAATCCAATGCGTTAGTGAGGCATTTAACTAAATAAAACATTATAAAAATACAATTAAAAACATAAAAAACATAAACACACACACACCCTTCTTGGTTAATAAAAAAGGCATACAAAAACAAACAATACAAAAACAATAATATAAAACACATTAACAATAAATTACGGCCTAATCTATCTTATAACATAATATAAATAAAGTCATCCTTGCGAGTTCACTGAACTGACACGAAAAAATATCTATATTGTTGTGGATTTTATTTATAATACGAATTGCTCGCGTGAGAGGCGTTTTGGCCAGGAGGTTGGTCCTGGCGGTTGGCACTGACAGCAGTGGCGGGCGTCGTCGTCTCTCCACGTATCTATCCGGCACACAGAGGCACAAGCACCGTAGAACTCCGGGATTGTGCTCCTTGCCACCGAGTAGTTTAATTGTTTAGCTGACAAAGAACTGCAACAGTTGTGGTGTACAGCCAACATCAGCCAGCTTCCTCAATAAGACATCATTGTCCACGGTGTCAAAAGCCTTTTTGAAGTCAAAATAAGCCGCATCCACCTGCACCCCCGCGTCGACTGCCGGTATAACCTGTGCCATGAAGTTAAGCAGGTTGGTGGCAGTGCTGCGCCCCGGCCGGAAACCATGCTGTGCATCCGAAAGTAGTGCTCGGACCTGCCCCTGTATAGAAGTTTGAATGGCGGACTCGAAAACTTTAGCTGGTGTCGACAGCACAGCCACTGGTTTGTAACCGCTGACATCTGGACCTGACTTACCTTTAGGTACTGGAACGACGCGTGTGATTTTCCATCGTGTCGGGAATGTGGACTTTTGCAAACAGATATTAAATATGTGATGCAGCGGACCTGCTAGAACCCTGGCGCAGTCCCGGAAAAGAAACTGTGGTATACCGTCCGGGCCAGATGAGCGTTTTGGCTTCAGATTTTGCAGCGCCATCTGTACCTCGCCAAGAGATAAAGTGTTTAAATGCTGTGGTCAACGGCTGATGCATCATGTAGGTAATTAATGATTTAATTAGCACTGTGTTTCCAATGAAGGAGAAGCGACGCTTTTAAAGGGGACTTGCAAAAGGCTTCGTTTTTGAGATGATAAAATCATCAAATGACACAACTTCTTGATATTTATGTGATCCACAAGTGAATGGTCACTATATCCTCCTTAATATTATAAATGTGAATATTTCTGATAAAGTATGGATGTATGTTTATTATTCTTTCACGCCAAAACGGCTAGACCGATTTCGTTGAAATTTTGTGTGCATATAAGTGATACCCTGGATTAGGACATAGGCTACTTATTAACATACATATATCCATATCTTTGAATATTCTTTTTACTTTTCAGTACATAAAAGTTACAGTAGACAAAGTGACGGGACTGCTGGAATCCATCCAGCATGTGGACGGAGTCAGGATAGATGTGAACCAAAACTTCTACTACTACGCTCAAGGTCAACAGACTCTGCAGTCGGGAGCCTACAGCTTTAGACCTGATCGACAGAGGCCTGTTGCTGTAAGTTGAAGATTTTAATAAATATTCGATGAAAAGATTCGATTTTATGGAGACAGCGGTATTTCAAAACCGTTTCGACCTTAAAACCTCTAAGAAACGAGAGTACTCTTTCTTAAATGGCCGGCAACGTGTGTCCTGTAGTGTTGAAGGTGTCCATGGGTGGCGCTGATCACTTACCATTAAGCGACCCGTCGGCTCTTTTGCCTCCTATTCCGTTAAAAAAACACCCAAAAATATTTTTCTATTTTCCTAAACTAGTAGTTTCTTCTGTGTCGTGGGTGAAACAACAATTTGTGGATCAATAAGGTGGGACTCCCCACTCCCCATTGGTGTCTTAAGACTCGAGTAAATGTTTTCATATATACAAGAAACGGTCAAACTGGTCCTTTTAAACTGCAATCATTTGCCAGGCGTGGAGATTTGCCATAATTGACTGCACGGTTGGTGCGGTGGCTGGCCAACTGGCTACCGTGCAACGTGTCGCGGTTTCGATTCCTGCACAAAAGAACTCTTTGAGTAATCCACAAATTGTTGTTCCGGGACTGGGTGTGATGGGTATAGGAAATTGTATGTTTGTTACGCACCCACGACACAGGAGAAAATCCTAGAGGTAACGTTTTATTAAAGAAAAAAAGGTATTATTTCTGCCAAGGAGGCCTATAATCCAGCAGTGGAATCTCACCAGCTGTTAAAAATGATGATGATGAGGATATCCCAAGTTTTAAAAAGATATGATGGCCTGGACATTCAGTTTCTTCAATATACATATTATGAGACATATTCCGAGTTTATGGACTACCTAAGATTAAGCAACACTGATATACGGTGAAGGAAAACATCGCGAGGAAACCTAGACTTACAATTTCTAAGTTTAAAATCACCACATTGAGCAACCGTAGCGATAGCTTATGCCTACTTCGTATGAGAGAATTCTCTTGCATTATACAGAATGATTCAAAAAGCTGATGATGAATCCGGTCTTCTTCTCAGGTAACGGACAAGGTAGCCTATAACACCATCCGAGGGTCTCTAGTCAAGGAGATCAGACAGAGGTTCAGCGACTGGATCACCCAGATCATCAGGCTGTACCGTGGTGAAGAATTTGTGGAGTTGGAGTGGATTATTGGACCTGTACCTATAGGGTAAGCTGTGAAGATCAGTCCTAGCAACGAACTTGAAACTCCTTTGGTGTGGCGGGTGTCCGTGGGCGGCGCCGATTGCTTACCACCAGGTGATCCGTGTGCTCGTTGGCCACGACTCCATGACAATTTTTCCATTTTGACAGCATCAATGAGGGGGTGGCTTTTGTCCAGCTGTAGAACTCGTTCAGCTGATGACGATGATAATGATGATGATTGCATAGACAAAGTAATTTAGCTTTTACTCATAAAACTACCCAAAAGAATGAAATTATTAAAATTGTGACATTATTATAAAATGTTTACACACACAGAAAACTGGCGTGAAACAATCACAGCGTTTGGTTCCACCGTGTGAATAATGTTACCAGAAACCGAATCCTTTCCCTCCACCAATCCCTCGTTAATCTCTAAATCTCTGAAAACCTAATCACTAAAAGGCCGTCAAAGCACTCGCGTGGACACCCACGTATCGACTTATCAAATAAAAAAAACTTGAAAATCAAATTCGAATAGCCTTTATTATACTGACAATTTAAAATATGTATGTATGTATGTATGTACATTTCATAACAATTAATCAATCAATTTCATTCAATTTTTTATGAGTATTACAAAAAAAATGGTGTGAATAGAATTTGAGGGGTGACTCAGATACACGAAAGGGATGAATAGATATAGAATTTTCCTAGTATTTAGGGTGGAGTGCCGTCGCTACCTTCTGCGAGGCCGTGATGCTCGTAAAGGAGGCGGCAGAAAAGGAGAGAGAGGCTACCTCCTCTCTCCCCTCCCGCAGTAGACGCGCTAGACGTCGTAGGGTAGCCGACCAGCGGCCACCGTAGGGCGCGGCCTGCGGACGACAGACTCGGGGCGTCTTTTCGTCCGACCAGCAGCAGGCCTCGAGGTGGCGGCGCCGTGTTCCGCGTGCTCCTCATAGTTGAGTCCTGCGAAGTTTTTTTTCCTACAAAAAAAAAACTTCCCGCTGCACACCTAGGTGGTCTCACGAGGTGTAAGGTGGGCAAAGAGTGGTCCTGCGGTCGGGCCGCAGTGGGTGACGGGGCCCGCCAAACCATCTGGCGGGCCAAATACCCGTCGGGGGGTTGCGACGAATGTTTCGGCGATACCCGCCCCTCCGATACATGGGTAAATGGAGAAATACCGGCTTGGTTTTTAGTCAGTAAGTCTGACAATACCCTTCGCCCTTCCCCGAGGGCGATGAGACTCCGTGAGGATTTTCCAACAGATACAAAAAAAAAAGTTAATTTCCTAGTATCTATTTACCCCTTTCGTGTATCTATTCAACCCGTTTTACGGTAACCAGTTTCATTACTATTAGTCAGTTTCATTGAATTTCATTACAATTAATCAATTTTATTACAGCTTGTGCTATATATACTCAATACTCAATCATTTATTGCATTCCACAGTGTGTTTCTTAGGTGGTAAATTATAAAAATAAGATCATCATGGACCCTGTCGAGCACAGCAAAGTAGAAGTAAAAGTATAATAAGTATATAAATATAATCTTTCAATATAATACAATACAGTTCATGTGTAAATATAAAATTCAGCTTATAATACCACGTAATTAATATAATGCACTTGTATTAAATCTTTGACATCGGTAACGATATTGCCAGTTTGTCGTTCGGCATTGGCTTCTCCACGTAAAAAACTTAACTATTATAAATATTTTATTATTGTTTATCACCAGAACGGACCTCGGCAAGGAGGTGGTGAGTTTGTTCACGACAAATATCACCAGCAATGGCGAGTTCTTCACCGACTCCAACTCTCGGCAAATGATGAGGAGAACCTGCTGGAATGAATCTGCCAGCACGTTGAGTAGTAAGTTCTTTAGTTTATTTTTTCACCGAAGTACTAAGTTTTTTTCTTAAGCAACTAGCTAATCCCGCGCTGTTTAACTCGCTGCTCGACTCTATTTGATTGTAGCGTGTTTTATAGCTTATAGCACTCTGAAACAATGTAGCTATGTGTCAGTGAAAGAATTTTGGGAATCCGACCAGCGGTTGCAAAGATCACCCCCTAGGGGGCGTCCATAAATTACGTGAGGTGTTTAAGGGGGGGAGGTGGTCGAGTCAAATCTCATCTAATCTTATGTTGGAGAGAGGAGAGAAAAAAAAGAAAATTTTGTATTTTGATATATTTAATCCAGATTGTACAAGCTTAAGATTTAATCTAAAGCGTAATCGTAGTACGATTAAGATCATTTACTAATAAAAGGTCGATGCAAATTCGTTTTTTTACTTTTTACAATAATAATCCAAAGCGTTTACGTAAGAAACTCACATTTTGAAAAATCTCACCTGAGATTCGAGGATGGGGGAGAGGGTTGAATAAAATTTATGGACGCTCCTACATATTCTATGTATATATCCTATTATATGTATACATGTTCTATGTGAATAAATGTTTCTTTCTTTCTTTCTTTCTTTCATACAAACTTACAAACATACAAACTTACAAACACAAACTTACAAACATAGAAACTTACAAATTTTACCTCTTTATAATATATTTTTTATTTTATTTTATAAAAAACGTTGCCCCACATTAGGATTTTCTCCTGTGTCGTGGGTGCGTTTAAAAACATACAAATTCACATACACACAGACCCGGAACAACAATTTGTGGATCACACAAAGAGTTGTTCCGTGCGGGAATCGAACCCGCGACACGTTGCACGGCAGCCAGTTGCAACCGTGCAGTCGAATATTGGTAAAGATGGGCAGGCATTTGGCCGCTATCACGCCTGGGATAAGCGATGATGCGACCTATGATGGAGTACGATTACCCATTAGCAAAAAATTCACTTGGGCCTTGAAGACACCCAGGTTACCCTTTGGGCTACTCTTCCTCTCGTCTTAACCTGGGCGAGAGAAGTCATTTGATGATTTTCCCATCAAGGAAATGAAAATGATAAAATGTGGGAGAGCCATGCTTTGGCACGAAGGTCGAATTGGTCGGATCGACCAGAGTGATACCACGGCCTTAGAAAACCGGCGTGAAATAACCAAAGAGTTGTGTTTCGCCGTGTGAGTGAGGTTACTGGAGGTCCCATCCTTCCCCTACCCCAATCCGTTCCCTTTCCCAAAATGTCCCTAATCCCTAATCCCTAAAAGGTCGACAACGCACTCGTAACTCCTCCGTCGTTGCGGTGTCACATACAAAAAATGGAATAACTTTTCGATTTGAGAATATTTTGAACTAATGCTCAATTTCAACTTGAAATTTCATATGGCAACTTGTGCCATTAATGCTCTTTTCTTTACTATGGAGAGACCGAATAATTATGGTTTATTAATTCTCAGGTCAACAGCTCAAGAAGCCGATAGCAGCGTGTTACTACCCAGTAACATCCCGGATATGTATACACTCGGGGAACGCCAGTGTCGAGATGTGTGTACTGGTCGACAGAACAGAAGGAGGGACCTCGTACAATGATGGAGAGATTGAGCTAATGGTAAGTGTAGGAGAGCCATGCCTCGGCACGAATGGGTCGGCTCGACCGGGGTGATACCACGGCTTCACAAAAAACTTCCGTAAAGTGAAGCTTTTATTGTGTTTCGCCATGTGAGTGAGATAACCGGAGTTTTAAACCTCCCCCCTCCCATCCTCTATCCTCAAATCCCCTATCCGTAACTCCCTAGCACCACACAAGAGGCCGGCAACGCACTTGTAGTATTATGAGTATCTATGGGCGGCGCCGATTGCTTACCATCAGGTAATCCGTCTGCTCGTTTGCCGATATCACACACTTATTATGCCCAATTACAACGCAGTCAGCGATTCAAAGAGACAAAAGTATTTCTATTTTAATCTCTTTGAATCGTTGACTGCGTACTGTGGTAGCCCGGAAATTCAGGTATTCCCATGCACGAGGTTGCGGGATCAAAACTTGGCAAATACCAATGTGACTCTTTCGAATTATGTATTTTCTTTGATTATTAAGACACCACTGACATACAGTCAAAAAAAAGGAAAACATCGTGAGGAAACCAGGACTTATAATTGCTAATTATAAGTTTGAAATCGCCAATCTGCATTGAGTAAGCGTGGTGATTAATGCTCAAATATTTTCCGTGTGAGAAGAGGCCTTTGCTCAGCAGTGGGCACTTATCGGTTGATGATGTGTAGGTAATGTGTGTGAAATTGCTAAGCTTAGGCTCCAGGAAAGTGATGATACCTTGAGCTAATATGAAATGTAATAAGCTGACTTTATTAAGATCCTCTTTTTTTTTTGTTAGGGGAAAATCATCAAATGACTTCTCCCGCCCCACAGTGTCAGACTCTTACTGACTAAAAACCCCCCTGTTCCTTCTCCTGCTCTGGGCCGAGGTCGCGGTGCCTCATTGCGCTTACCCCGCCACCCCGGCTGAACATCAGCCCATTAGGGCCCCGTCTGTGGTGGTCTATTGACGCTTTGAGGCGTGCGCCTCTGAGACAATGATTTTGTCAGGCAAGTAGGTACATACTATGAAAACTAAAAGAACTGTATTTCCAGGTCCACAGAAGACTCCTTACAGATGATGGCTTCGGTCTTGAAGAAACCCTGAACGAGGAATCCTATGGAGTAGGACTGGTGGTTAAAGGGAAGCACAGGATACTCTTTGGAAACTATCGGCAAGAAGGTAGGTGGAAAGACTGCACGGTTGGTGCGGTGGCTGGGCAACTGGCTGCCGTGCAACGTGTCGCGGTTTCGATTCCTGCACGGTGTGATCCACAAATTGTTGTTCCGGGTCTGGGTGTCATGTGTATGTGAAATTGTATGTTTGTAACCGCACCCACGACACATGAGAAAATCCTGGTGTGGTAGTTCTTTTTTAAAGAAATACATAGAAATGAGGTGAACTAGTAATTGTATCACCTGATGGTACGTACGTGGACACCCACCAAAGGTGTCACAAACGCGTTGTCGGAGTTTTAAAAAGGAGGACGCTCGTTTCTTGAAGTTAAAGGTCGTATCCTCAGTCCCCAATTTCTGCCAGGCCAAATCCGTTTGTTCTTTCATTTTTGCTTTTCTCATAAATGCAGTGGATGATCAGACCTTCTCGGAGAGGATGTCGCTCTTCTCAAGGAGGTGGCAGTACGAGCCCTGGCTGTTCCTGACTTCTGGAGAGAAGCTTAACAGAAGAAAATGGCAGAATGTTAGGAATAAGAGGGTGAGTTCTTTTTTTATATAATATGACGGCAAACTGCAGGCGGATTACCTGATGGTAAGCAACTAGCGCCGCCCTTCGACACCTACAACAACAGGGAAGTTACGAGTACGTTGCTGACATTTTGGGAATTAGTTTTTTATGTAATAGTTCGGCAAACGAGCAGACGGATTACCAATCAGCGCCGCCCATAGGCACCCGGAACGGAGGAGTTACGAGTGCGTTGCCACCCTTTTAAGGATTACAGATTAAGGAGGGATTGGGGAGGGGAAGGATTGGGGGAGGGGAAGGATTGGGGGAGGGAAAGGATTGGGGGAGTGGAAGGATTGGGCCTCCGGTAACCTCACTCACACGGCAAAACACAACGCTGTGGTTGTTTCACGCCGGTTTTCTGTGAGGCCTTGGTATCACTCCAGTCGAGCCGACCCATTCGTACCGAAGCATGGCTCTCCCACTCTTAAAAAAGAGTGTTGGAGATTTAGGGATTGGGGGAGCACTTCGATTTTATTTTTCGATTTAATACTAAAGAGTATTTAGCCAAAGCACTAACATGCAGACATATAAACGATTCCTTTTAATATAATAAACATTAATAAAAAAGAACTAAGTTTACAAAACCACTTACGTGGGAAAGGAAGTCATGAGGCAGCTCGACTGAAGAGGTCTCGACCACACAGAAAACCTGCGTGAAACATAGCGTTAAGTTTTGTCATGTGAGTGAAATTATCATTGTCCAACCTATAAGGACAGCACTGGACTTTTAAATCCTTTAGCGGTCGATGTGTTAGATGGCAGCACGTTTGCTTACCATCAGGTAATTCTTCTGCTCGTCAGCTGAAAAAACGTATAGTAGAGAAAAAAAGACAAACAGAAACATCAACATTGTCATATTATTTAAGTGTGGGAGAGCCATGCCTCGGCACGAATGGGTCGGCCCGACCGGACTGATACCACGGCCTCGCAAAAACCGGCGTGAAACAACCAAAGCGTTGTGTTTTGCCGTATGAGTGAAGTTACCGGAGGTCGGATCCCTCCCCATCCCTTCCCGATCCTTAAATATCCGAAACTTTTATCCCCATAAGGTCAATGGGCGACGTTGATTGCTTACCATCAGGTAATCCGTCTCGTTTGCCTACATATTCCATAAAAAATATTTATGTGTTTTATTTCTTTCAGTTTTCAGTGCTGAAGCTGCATGGTCTGCCTCGTCACATCCATGTGTTGACCTTGGAACCGTGGAAAGCTGGTACAGTCCTACTTCGATTGGAGAATACGCTGGAAAGTCCTATAAGAGGTAAGAAATAGAGTGTAAAATGGTGAGGTAGGGTTACATAAACAACATTCGATTTTCAAAAACGACACACTAATACACACAAGAAAAACTCGTATGATTGGACGTCAAAGTGAGATGGCATGATTCAATAATCGCGAGTGAAAAAGAGACAAATATGAAAAAGTGTGGCTAGTTAGCCACATTTTAATTTATCACTTGCTGAGCGCTTGTAACCTATTTACACCTTTTCTAATAATATCATTTTTCCAACTAGTCAAATTAAATTGTTGTATCCAAATGTCAAAAACAATACTTAAAATTATGATTATGATTGATATCATAGTATTTGTGCGTCAAATAGCTAACTTATTTTTTTAAGTCATAGGTCGGCAAACTAGCAAACGGATTACCTGATGGTGAGCAATGAGGAACGACAGAGGAGTAACGAGTGCGTTGCCGACCTTTAGGGATTAGGGATTGGGGGAGGGGAAGGATTGGGCCTCTGGTAACCTCACTCACACGGCGAAACACAACGCTGTGGTTGTTTCACTCCGGTTTTTCTGTGAGGCCGTGGTATCACTCCAGTCGAGCCAAACCATTCGTGCCGAAGGATAGCTCTCCCACACTAAAAAATTTGCTAAAATACCCAAAAATCTGCGAAAAAAAACTAAAATTTTGTGTATGAATAAAAGTTTAGTTATTTTTCAATATTTTATAGTAGGTAGTACAGCCTGGAGAAGAAATGGGGTTGTTTTTAGTCAGTAAGAGTCTGACATTCCCTCTTTAGCCAGTAATTTGATGATTATCCCCTCTCGAAAAAGAAAATGTCATGAGTTATACCTTCGGGGATCAAAACCATCTTTACTTCCAATCGCTCATGTGGATTCTTGTACCTACAGAGCGCTTCAGGACGGAAAAATCTGACGGACCAGAAGACTACATAACCAAGCCAACACATATCACAGTGGAGTTGCGAAAGATATTTCTGCAGATGAACATTAAGCTGGTTAGGGAGACGACGCTCGCTGCCAACCAATGGCTGGATGATGCGCGACAGATGGATTGGAGTACAAGGTAAGGATTAATATCTATTACTATCTAATTAATTCACCGGGTAGTGTACAGATGTGCTTTAAATGTCTCATCAGGTGTAGTTTATTATGTAGTACCACAGACGGGGCCCTATAGGGTTGATGTTCAGCCGGAGTTGCGGGTTAAGCGCAGTGAGTCACCGCTGCCTCGGACCAGAGCAGGAGAAGGAACGGGGGGTTTTAAGTCAGTAAGAGTCTGACTCTCTTGTCTTCCCTGGGCGGGGGAGTCATTTGGTTATTTTCCCCTGACAACAAGCGTTGTTTATTATATGGACCTTGTGAAATATACCACAAATTTCCGTGCGTTTAGGAGTTTTTACCATATCTATTACTGAAAACAACTAAAGCATAGCAACTCATACATAGGTCCCATACCTACACAATAGTGTTTTTTTTTTGTAGCGTAACAGTAACAGTAACCAACTGTTTATTCTGTCTGCTGCATTAAATTTACCGAGGGAAGTAGAAATTCTTTAAAAATACCTTCTGATTTATTTCTTTGCGGGATCATGTCCCTGGGACACGCCAGACTTCAGTGTTCTCATGGTTGTATCTACTGTAGAACCTGGCTTACAGGAGTTGCAGCGGTTTTGGAAGGAAGTGCCAACTTGTCTTAAAACAAAAATAAGCTTGAAAGACGTCTTGAAGCAAGTAGCCTGGCTTTGAAAACGCTAGAGCCATGCTATTAGCACAAATATGTTGGCCCTATTGGAGAGATACCACGGCTTCATAGAAACGTGGCGTGAAACAATATTTGGGCTGTATTTAGTGAGGTTTCTGGTGGCTACTTCAGACATGAGTTGGATGTGATTATGAATTGATCTCCAAATCTTTAGGCTAGTGATGATGACAATTTTCAACTGCTTTTCTAAACATTTGTTCACAGATATGTATACAATGGAGCTGATGATGGGATACTTCCAGAGGACGCAGAAGAAACAGAAGAGAAGCCTACAAAACCAACAGAAAATAAAGAATCAGGTCTTTATACAAACACTAGCTCTTACCCGTAGCTTCCCTTCCGTCATTTAACTATCTACACTACCCAACCTAGGCCCTACTTCACGACCTACCCTACACTACCTACCCGACCCTAACTACGCTACCTACTCTACCCTGTCCTAAACCTAGCCAAATTATTATTTGATTGTAAAAACACTAGATAAAGACATAAAATGTATCCAATAACAATACTAAGTAAAGTTTTTAACTCAACAGGAAACGTTTCCGGCGAAGATTCAGAGTACGGTCGAAAAAAATACGTCCGACAAAGATTTTCGGATAAATCCAGATCGAAAATCAAAATGCCTGTTTACGCAGACTATGACAGGCGAAAACGATCAATAAATATTTCAGAAAATGTTATGGAGAACTTAATCAATGATACGACGATAGATACCGTTAGATTTAATGACACAACTGAATCCCCAGCGAAGAACACTTCTTCAGTACATATGACAACGAGATTTGAAATTAATGACACAATCAAGTTCTCTGAGCAACTAAAGTTTTTAATGACACAAAAGACTCCAAAAATGACATTTTTGAGCAGATCGAAGCCTAGCAAATTGGTTAATGATTGGGCAGCTGAAACGGAAGAAGTTGTGTCTTCTGAAGAAGACTTCTCTTCTAATTTGAAGAAGAGATCGCCTAGGAGAAGAGGTGGAAGTAGGAGTACTAAAAGGACTAAGCCTGAACGTGAAGGTGAGAATTTTTTTTTTCGAAGGCCTTTTTGTAATTCGCATTTAAAACACCATTTTTTATTGTCATTCTCATTGTAATCCTTGCATGCTAAGCAAAATTCCAGAACTGGTGTGAGAATTTCTCAAAAAATATAATACCAAATTGTTGATGACAATTGAGACGTCACACTTTGAAATTGCAATTGTAATGGTTAGAAACAGAACAGTAGTGGGCACGCATTTTTTTAATGTCACCACCGTCTCATCCTATCATTAGCTCGAACTGATAACTAGATATTGTTTCTAGTCAAAATTAAGTCCAGGATTTCTTACGCTGTTTTCCTCCACCGTTTGTTAGTAGTGATAGGCTTATTTAACTCAAGAAAGTCACATTGGTATTCGCCAGGGTTTGAAACCACAACCACATTTTAAGCAATCGACACTACCAACACAGAGGGATTTAGGGATTGTAGAGGAATGGGGGATGTGAGGGATTGGGCCTCGTAGGGTAACCTAACTCACACGGTGAAGCAGAACGCTGTGGTTATTTCACGCCAGTTTTCTGTGATGCTATAGTATAAGATGAGACTAGTTGAACCGACTCAAAGCTATAGAGACACTCCTACATTTAAACACACATACATGCGGAAAAGCAAACCAAAATACACATAACAATGCCACAAGTTATGTCAACTTAATAACAAAATCCATTTTAAACCTCCAGAAACCACAAGCGACGATGTAGATGACGGAATAACGAAATCAATCTACGAAATGTACTACAAGCATCGGCCAAGAAACCAAAACAAAGGCTTCAAGAACGCAGAAGAAAAAAACAGAAAGAAGAAGCCAAGAAGATTACGAGACAAGAACGATTATGATTATGAAGTAGAACAGACAACCAGAAGATATTTCAGAAGTAAAAGCAAAAGAGTTAGAGGAAGAGGTTACACTGCTGAAATGCCGTTCTTTACAAACGATCGAAAGAAATATAAGGGAGACAGAGATTATATTACTACAGAAGATGGAAGAAGAATGAGGGAGATGGGCGCAGAAGATGCGCCAGTTAAAGGTTCGTTATTTTCAGAATGTTAAAGACAATCATACTATCCTACTAATTAAATAAATGTGAAAGTTTCTGAAAATGTATGTTTGATATTCTTTCGCGCAAAAACAGCTAGACCGATTGAATTGTGGCCCATTTTTTGTCAAGGAAAAATATCTTATCCCACCCAGGGAGAGAAAAGAGGAAGTGTCAGACTCTTACTGACAAAAACCCTCCCGTTTCTTCTCCTGCTTTAGGGCGGAAGGCGGCAAGGCCGCGGTGCCTCGTTGCGCTTGCCCCGCAACCCCAGCTGAACATCAGCCCTATAGGGCCCCGTCTGTGGTGGTCTATTGGCTCTTTGAGGCGCGCGTATAAAATCAATCTTTAATGTATTTGCTTGCAACTTTCAGAATATCCTATCAAAACATCACCTCGTTTGCGAAAACGCAAGGACAATAGCGGCATGGAAGTCCAGGACTATTCTGAAGAAGAAGACCTTGATAATGTCGAGAAGGAGATCGGAGAGAGAAGAACGGAGAACAATAGAAGGAAGAGGTAAATATAAATTGTTATTAAAGTAAATATTATTCATAATCACTACACAGTATAAAACAGTCGCTTTCTCTGTCCCTATATCCTATGTATACGCTTGAATCTTTAAAACTATGCAACGGATTTTAATGCAGATTTTTTATTAGGTAGAGTGATTGATTAGCAATGTTAATGTTTAATAACACCCATTCAATAGTACACAGAGCGGGTGTGTAGGTGAGCGCATAACTCAACAACGCCTGGACCACATTTGACAATTCTTAATTTTTTGGTGTTTTTGTTATTGTCAGGAGTCTCTTCTATCTTGTGAGAGTTTTTTCCCATCCCATTCCGTCTTCTGTAGTATTTCTTTTTCCTTTAAAATTGCTTTCTATCGGTTACAAAGAAAGCAGTGTAACTCTAACTACTACTACTACTAACTCTTTTACTTTTACTTCTGAATATCTTCTAGTCGTCTGTTCTACTTCATAATCATAATCTTCTTGGTTATTTTTTTCATTTTTTTTTCTTCTGTGTTCTTGAAGCCTTTGTTTTGGTTTCATTGACATTTTATCAAAAGAAGGTTCTTCTGAAAGAAAAGTTTTACAATAATATAGACGGGAATAAGTGGAACTAGAGACATTTTGATACCTAGTAAGTAATAAAAATTGTAATTTGTTTATTTCCAGGACCCTACCAAAAGACGATGAAGTGCAAGTGGAACCTGGTACCACAGAACCAACAGAAGACACAGACTTTGTAGTGACGATTCGACCAACACAAATACGAACATTCGTCATATGGTTTGAGAATAACAGAAAGAATTACAACACATAACTTATTCGATATATTTGCAATATGAATACAAATTTGTAGTACTTAAGACTAAACGTATCATATGGGAGGCTCTCCCATGCTTCGGCACGAATGGGCGCATCGGAATCATACCACGGCCTCCCAAAATACCACTCAAAACTACACTTGCGTGGTGAGAAAATTATCCGGAGGCCCAATCCCTTACAACCTAACTAATTGTAATATATTTTTCAACACTCTTCCTCATGAAGTGACTCTTATCCCATGGCAATTAGGCACAAATTTACAACTACAATAACTGTTACTTTTTCATTACTATTATTCACGATTTAGTAATAGTTTTTTTTTTATATTATTGGTTGAGTTCGCTTACACTTGTGTTAAAATGCGATCCGCGAAAAGCTCAAAAAAAGATACCTCATTTTTAGTCTATGACCGATGCGCGCGCATCGGAAGACTGATTAATTTTTCCCGCCATTACGGAAAAGTTTTCACAACTCGTCTTGTTTTCTGATTTGAGGTTATGTAATTAAATATTAAGTATTAGCGAAAGTGTGTTGAAAAACGTCGTATGATACAAGTGTGTATTGATGATTAGTACAGTCCTCGGCTCCTTATGACCCTCGCCTTACGGCTCCGGCCTAAATGTGCCTCAGCGGTGAGCGCCAACATTACACACTGAACTGAACTGCCATAATGAACTATTTTTATACATAGAGATGAGGTATGTAATCTTATTATATAGGCTTATTTTTTTCCATTTAAACTGAAATATAGGTAGCGTAAGTAAAATTAGTTTGAAATATGAAACGTTATGAACTGGATTTTATTAAAAGACATGTTATTTTCTTAGGAATTTTTTGTGTGTTAATTAACCACGGGCGGTCTTCGTAGGATGGTTAAGAGTGCATTTTTCTCCCGCCCTGGGTGAATCGAGAGGAAATGTCAGACTCTTTACTGACAAAAGACCTCCCTGTTACTTCTCCTGCTCTAGGCCCGGGCCCCGGACCATTACTACGCTTGCAGCCGCAACCCAGGCTAAACAAGTGTATCTCTATCATTCGATTTAAAATATTAAAAATACATATATACCTATGTAGATAATTACTATTTAGTTATTGTAGGTATGTTTTCGCCATATCCTTAGATTAAAGTTAGGTAGTACGACACTCCCTCCGGAGAAGTCATGTGATGATTTTCCTCTCACAAAAAAGGCGTGTTGCCGGCATATAAAAAAGTAGAAGGTCCGCATATTTCTTTAAAGGTTGAAGGTCGCATCGGTTCCTACCCCATAGAAAAGATAAAATATAATGGCCACGATAGATCTAGGTACATTTATAATATTATTAGTTGAGGATTAATTTTAATTTACGTTAAGATATACAAAAAAAACTTTATTTTTTATTGATTTATACATTTTGTTTTAATTGAAATAGTAAACCATTTAACAATAATTATTATTATATGATATATTTACGACGTTATTGTTTGTAAATAAATTTTCTATTGGAGTGTCACTTTTTTATTTATAACTGTAAGTACCCTTATTTCTCCAGCATATTTTTTAGCTTAGTTGCAACCCGCCCGGACTTCGCACGGGTGCAAAACTGATACATTTTTCCACTATTTAAACCTTTCTCTTCTATCACTCTATCGTGGCAACGTTTTTTAAACAAGAAAATGTCACATTGGTACTTGCCCTCATGCACGAGAAGCGGGCGCCAGAGACTACAGAGCGCCATCTACCTACTGCACTCCTACATGTACATCCACTCAAGCAAGCATTTTACGCAGCCCGGGTTTTCATGCAAACACTTTTGTCTAAAAATCATGGGAACTGCTAAACCGATTATATTCTAATAGAAGTTTAAGAGAGTTCCAAAAATGCTAGCTTACATTGGTTAAGTGTTCAAGTGTGGGAAAGCCATGTTTTGGTACGAATGTCGGCTCGACCGGGGTGATAGCAGAAAACTGATGTCAAACAACCATAGCGTTGTATTTCGTTTGTTTGTTACGATTACCCATTGGTGGAGCCGACTAGTTACCATCATGCTCTCGGCTCGTTTGCTGATCTACCAAAGTAAAAAAAACTACACCAAAATCTGAGGAGTATCATGATATTTTTAGTGTGGTTCATGAAATTTATGGTATTACTTTCATACAGAGTACCCAAAACCAGTGGTAGATTTATAATGAAACAATATTCCTTAGAGCGAGACAATTTATTAAATTTATTGAGTACACCTAGTTAAAGTTTGGTAATGAATCCTTATCGTGATGAAATTCGACGCCAACGCCATCTAGGGAAATCAAGTGTAAACTTTGGTACAAAATAGTGAATTTAACAGTTAGTATAGAAATTATTTATTTCTGAACAATTGGGTACCTAGTTGCAATAAAGCATTAACAAAATAACTATACTTTTATTCATCGATGGATCGATACACTGAATTTTAGATATTTTTAGCTAATTTTTAAGAAATAAGTAAACTATTTGACGCAAAAAAACTATGACGTTATAGCTCAGTGTTTCATACAAATTTCATAGAAAAGTATCGTTTTTGACATTAGAATAAAAGTATTTAATTTGACTAGTTGGAAACTACCCTATTATTTTGAAAGAAATTTTGTGAACAGAAGAGAGTAATGCCGGGAGTAAGCTACCCGTTCCATACCATGGCGGTTAATTAACAAAACTAATTACTATCACCGAAATTAGACACACGTGCAAAGCAGGAGCGAGCCACTAGAGTAAGGGGCGTCCATAAATTACGTGGAATGATTAAGGAGGGGGGTCAATTCAAATGTCGTTTTATCTCACGTTGGGGAAAGGAGAGGTCTCGACAAATATCATGCAATTTTTTTTTTATTGTAATTGACAAAAAAAATTTGAGTACAAAAAAAAAAGAAAAATTAAGCAATGTTGATTATTGCGTTAAATAATTAAGGGGAGGGGTCGAGACAAATATAATATAGTATTATCTAATCCCACGTCTGGAAGAGAGGGGATCTCGACAAATAACACGCAATTTTTATTTTTATTAAAAAAAAATTAAAAACTAAAAATGAAGTAATATTTATTTCTAGTCTTAACTAGGCGTAAATAAAAGCACAAAGCAAAATGTTATTTTCTTTTTACAGTAACAATCCAACGCGTTTATGGTACGAAACGAACATTCTGAAAAATCTCACGAGAGATGGGGGGATGGGAGACGGAGTTAAATAAGATCACGCAACATCTCACCAAGAGGGGAAGGGATAAAGGGTGAATTTCCAAAAAACACCACAAGTATTTTCTGGACATCCCCTTTTTGTGAAGGGAAAATCATCAAATGACTTCTCCCGCCCAGGGTCGGGCAGGAGGGACTGTCACTCTTACTGGCTAAAAACCCCCCTGTTCCTTCTCCTGCTCTGGGCCGAGGTCGCGGTGCCTCATTGCGCTTACCCCACAGCCTCGGCTGAACATCAGCCCTATGGGGCCCCGTCTGTGGTGGTCTATTGGCTCGGGCCTGGTTCTGGACTGGCGGCGAGCTACCCTTACTAGCCGTCCGCAGACCGGCGCTTACGGTGGCCGGAGATCATTTCTCGTTCCCCAACGCCCGGAATGTCACCTATTGCGGCGGCTGGGGCGCGAGGAGGATAGCTCGCTCACGCGCTCCGCATCCTCCTTTCCGAGCATCACTGCTTCGCAGGAAAAGGAGGCGGCTTCCCAGTTCCTTCTGTTCGATTATGGACACCGCCATATGTATGATAATAAACTAGTAAGTATAATTAAAATACATACCTCTATACGTACCAGTTCGGGCCTATTTACCTTCATCGTCCATTGAATAATTCTCTTGTCTTCATCATCATCATCATCAGGCAGTCTACTGCTAGAGTCCAGGAGCTACAAAATTAGCTCCCTAATAACAGGGTAGGTACAATCTCCACGGTGGATAGGCGGCGTAGATATTGCAGTTCAAAAGGCTCAATTTTATTAGATAGCGCTGATGTTAAGGCCTTTTGTCGAGTGTTCCTTGGATTCTTTCTACACCCACGTTGCTGGGCCTAATGACCCCAAGTTGTCGGGCCTAATGACCCCAAGTTTGGTGGGGTATTGTGACTTCATAATTTTGAAACAATAAATCGTCTCACTTCTTCTTTCTTCCGCTGAAAAAGAAACCAGGTCTTTCGACCAACGTTTTTGACTTCTGTGCAGAAACAACGAATCATTTTTTATTTTTTTGGCGGCTCATATTTCTTTTTTACAAAAAAACAAACTCAAAACATTCACAAGTCACTTTTTTCTTGTGTTACAATTTAGCCGCCGTATCGCAACTTAGAAAAAATATTTTTTACCGCCAACCTTTATTTTTTCAACGGCTACAATTTTAATTTTTCTTTTTTGTAAATGTTCTTTTTTACAAGTCTGTTATTTTATTATTATAATAATAACTATTATATAAATACAGCTAGTATGTACAATATACGCGAAGCTCGTTCCTTCGACATGTTTATTGCTTTGCAAAAACCGTTTCTATACTTGAATACTTTAGACGCCGTTTGCAATAAGACCCAAATTTCTTTTATTCTAATTTCCTACTAAATATAAAATACAATATAGAAAAAAATAACACTAAACACAGCAGTCTGATTTTAACACGACAACCAATTTTGACCTCTATTCACACTCAAAGTCGTCTCAACTACATCCATATTCTCATCCATATTCTCAAAGCAAAAGAGTTCAAAATGAATATCTACAATAGAACCTAAAATTTACACCTTTCATATCCGTCTCATAAATTTGTCTATAGTTATCCTATTTCCATATCATTTTCCCAAAAAATTTTATTCGAAGGTACGAGCTCTCGCTACTTAATTCTAAAACAAACATATATGTACAAAATTAATTAAAAAAGAAAAACAAATATCTAGCGAATAACAGCTATGATCGACCAAACTTTTCGTCCTAGGAAAACCTTGGATTGTGGTACGCCTTACAATAAATTTTGCTTTTATAGTAAAATAAAAGTTTAAAACTTATTGATCTATTATTTATAACCCGAAAAATGGATAAAATTCCTAAAATACACAAATCAATAATTTATAAGCTATTCTCATCGTATTTTATTTTATTTACCTAGAGAAAAATGTGTGTAATGACCCCAACATAAAATATGTTAAATGACCCCAAAATGAATTATGTTTAACGACCCCGTACAACCAAACTTTAAGGCTCACCCAAATCCAAGGCTTCCCTTTACACTCGTCTACCGCAGAGCAAAAATCCTTTAAATACATTAGTGATAAAACAAAAAAAACACGCCTTAACTAAAAAAAAAATGTGTTCTGAAAAACATCGATATTCTACTGATATTTATACCGACACATCAAAATCACTGCTGCGCATAGGCCTGACAATGACATACCGAAGATAGTGTTAATAAAATCATCCGTTTCAAAATTATGCGCTCCGGTCGCCGGTTGAAACTCGTCGAGCACGCTCGAGAAGTTACGTGCTGTTGTAGTATATTGTAGTTGATAGTAGAAGATAATTTTTTTTTTTGAAGTTTTGAACGTTACGCTGAAGATTGAACAAAGCGGCGCGCCATCAAAGAAGGTAATATTAGAAGTATATTCAGCGGTGAACGCGAAACAGGCTGATGACGAAGCTCTTAAAACCGCGGTAAGACTACCAATATCTTTCAAAACACATTTCAGACTTAAAAATACAAAATAATAATAATAATTAAAAACTAACGTATAATTTATTAATAAGAATTAAAATGAAAATGTATGTAACTTTTAGAAGTTCGGAATCAACAATGTGGGTTTTGACTGATAGATAAAATGTAACATCCAATTTCCACGGGGTGATTTTAGTTATATACGGTTGAATTCGCACCTGTGTACTCAAAAATGTAGGTAGGAACTCGGAACTATTAGTTTTGATGTTTACATGTGAACTAACTCATGACGATACCTAAGTACGTGTGTCGCCTGGACAGTCAACCTCGCTACATCCTTGTTGACTGGACATCTACACTACATGAGCTGCTGTTTACATGTGAACATTAGCTCATGACGATACCTAAGTACGTGTGTCGCCTGGACAGTCAACCTCGCCACGTACTTGTTGACTGGACTGGGTGGTATGATACTAAAAGACTTAATAATTGGAAACTAATTTGACTATGCGTTGACTAAAAGGCGTCACAGTGTGTTTTGACCAAAAACAAACGCGTACAACTTATAAAATTTTGATAAGAAACTTTGTATATATGAGACAAAATATATAACATAAACATTACATATATATAATTATATATAATTTACATATAATATAGTAAATAAGGGAGAAATTCGTCATTATTTGTTATATACAACTTGGACATTCATTTTAAGTTTGAATATTAGCAGAGGTGCTTTAAACATATGCATTCTCCAAGTTATGAGTGAATTCGTTTCACTCATAGCACTAAAAAAATTTAGTAATGCCAAAACTATTTTCTTATTACCAGAATACAACTCAACCATATTAACTCTGCACTTTAACACAACCGTAACACTTAGGCATAAGGTTGATAACTCCTTAAATGAGTTTTAGGGGACGAGCCTAATTGAATAAATCTTTGCTTTTCCCAGATATCGTACTGAACAACTTATGGTCGAGAGCGTAAACGACCACTAAATCAACCATGGAGTTTGGCAAACCTCAAATATAGGACTCAAAATGAATTCCAAGCCGATGAGACAATCAGAAGAATAATATAAATTATTTTTAAAAATAAAACCCTGCGGCCTATACCCTGGGCATAGACAAAGTTTTATTTAAAAATATATAACATGTCATAGGTCGGAAAGCGAGCAGACGGATTACCTGATGGTAAGAGCAATCAGTTCCGCCCATGAGCACTCGTAATATCAAAGGAGATAATACAAGTGCGTTGCCGACTTCGTGTGGGTATTTAGAAATTTAAGGATAGGGGATTTGGGGATCCCCCATCATCGGGAGGGGGGCGTAGATTTTTGAATAAATGTAGTATGTCTAACGATAGTTATTATGATTTAGATTTGTCATTTATAACTGTTTTCTAAGCAAAAAAATCCACAGACACATACGGTAAACAGACTGGCTATACTGAACGATCCCTTATTAAGACAAATACACTAAATTCATAGACTAAGTGACTGAATAAATTTGAACTCTCGATCTTCAAGCCTTCGTTTCGGCTGGAAGACGTTTTATAAGCATTATGAACCAATCCTATCTTAGATTTCTATTTTAAAAATGTCGCTTATGGCTATAGAATATGTTATGTTATTTATTTTTGTGGATTTTTTATGCAAGCACACAAGCAAGAATATTGTGAGGCAAGTGCAATACGGTACCTCGGCCTCGGCTTGAAGCAGAAGAAGGAATGGGAGAGTCTAACACCCGGTTTCCGAAAGGCCGATCAATGTTAAAATCAATTTAATCTCTTGTCAAGTCATCTGATTGGTTGACTGAATTATCAACAACCAATCAGATGACTTGACAAGAGATTTAACAGGACATTAGTTAATTTTAGCGTTGACAACGCCTTTCAGAAACCGGGTGTAAGTCAGTAAGAATCTGACACTTCCTCTCGCCTTATCCTAGGCCAGAGAAATCCTTTGAGAATATATTTTCCCCTCGACTCATTTGACTGTTAGGGGAATTAAAGAATGTGGGGAAAGAGTTCTGTCTTCGATAACCTCACTCACATGGCAAAACAACCCAAGGTAATTTTGCTAAGGTTTCAAAAACTAACTGATTAGTTCGATTCATGATGAAATCGGTAACGATTAGGACAAGATCATGACTATTTTATATTACTTTCAGATATTTTCCCTCTACAAAAAAAATAACATAACATATTATCATTTCAATTCTATAATAATGCTATTTTATTTATTTATTTATATAAATAATAATTTTATTTAGAGTATTGCTTTCATGTGGTGTATTTGTTATGTAAAAATATTTATATAATTTAATAAATATATATGTATTATAATTATAATGTATATATGTATATGTTGCTTTTACAAGTGAATTGGTTGAGCGTTTGCTGATAAGATTGGCTCGCTAATCGAACCTATGGGTCTAGGCACTTTGAATAGCAATGAATTTTTGCTATTAAGATAAGTTTATTGTAAAAAGTGGATTATTTTACTAGATTTTATTCAACTTATTAGAAGTTAAATAACACCTGTATGTATGTTCTTCCAACTAAATTTTAAAGCAGATATCTTCAACCGATTTAGCTGAAAAGAGAAAGCCAAAGCCTGCCCAATCTGCTTTGAGCTAGCGTTAAGGCATTTGCTTCTCATGCATGCGGTTCGAAACCTGGCAAGTACAAATATGACTTTTTCTGAGTCATGTGTACTTACAAGTTCATTAAGACACCACCGCTGACATATGTTGAAAAACTGGATTTATCATTTCTATTATAAGTTTGAAATCACCAATCCGATTTGAGCAAGCGTGGTGATTAATGCCCAAACTTTCTCCGTGTGAGAAGAGGCCTTTTCTCAGCAGTGGACACTTATAGATGATGTGGTGCAACAGATCTGTCTAATAAACCTGATCTTTTAAAACTACCATCTCCCCTCGTGATGGCAAACCTCTTACGTACAGTAGGCCTGTCCTCCGGTAGACTATCAGGGGTGTTAACTTTTTACAGCAAACTTATTTTAATAAATCCCTTTTCTCGAAGATAGATAAGTACGTTTGTTATAATGTATGGGCCATAAGTTAATTCTTATTTCATTAAACTCCATCACAATTGTATGGGGTTTACATTTTAATTAGCAAAGGACAGATTAGCATTACAGTACTAATAATTACAAAAACTTTTGCCAAAGAAATTTATTTTCAAGTCTGTTATCTCACTTTTTTTTATACACTAGCTACTCCCGAGCGGTTTCATTCGCTGCTCGGCTCCATTTGACTGTAACGTGATGCTTTATAGCCTATAGCGCTCGGGAACATTGTAGCTATCAAATCAATTAGTGAAAGAATTTTGGAAATCCAACCAGTGGTTTCAAATATCACCCCCTACATACAAACTTACAAATCTTACCTCTTTATAATATTAGTATTATACACTAACGACCCGTCTCGACTTCGCACTGGTGGAATGCTGATACTAAATCTGTCCACTATTTAATTGATATTATTATACTTATAAACTTCTCGATCACTCTGTTTAAAAACCGCATCAAAATCCGTTGCGCAGTTTTAAAGATTTAAGCATACATAGGGATATAGGGACAGAGAAAGCGACTTTATTTTCTTTAGGAAAGTTTTTTGATATCTTTAGTACTATAACGTGCTAAACTGTACTTTTTAAATAAATGTAACCCCAATATATTGTGACTCAATAATCTAAGTTTTGTTAATAGGACGCGGTTGTTTCATACAACTTACTTATGAAAAATACTTGTTGTATATTGTATGGAGATTTTGAGGTTACATTTTCAACTATAATAATTGAGATTGAAGGTTGAAAACTGAACCGCATTTGTTTAGAGTATGAGCAAAATAATTTTATTCAATATTTGATACTAAGAAGTACCAAAGTGATATTTTCAGAATTTTATAAACTTACTACAATAATTTAAACACCACTGACATACGGTTAAAGAAAACGTTGTAAAGAAACCTGGTCTTACAATTTCTGCACAAAAAAGTTTTGCGCAACTTGCACAAACTCTAAACCGTTTAGCGCAAAGCTTAATATTTGTTGCGCAAACATTTCCTCATACAATATACAACAAGTACGCCATATAGAGAAAGTAGTAACAAGTTTAACAATACTTAGTAGTCAAATTGCAAACGTTAGACGGATAGAATAGAATAGAAAATTCGATGAATGAAAATGGCATGCGTGTTTTTTTAGTAAGATTCATATTACTTAGCTTTTGTCTATGAGACGAAAAATAACTAAAGTGCTATACTAGATTCTAAAAGTATACAATTTGATGATATAAAAAAAATATTCTGAAATATTTCTTTAGCTGCATCTGCATCAAATTCATACAAACATGTCAGTTATCGATCAGTTTCAAGACTGTGTGTGTTAAGAGATAGATATTGGACCAAAACTATCGACAAAATGTATCGAAATACTATCTCTAATAGGCCTAATTTTACCTTATATAATTGCCTGGTAAATTGAACTGGAATATGCTTCGTAGAGGCAACAAATAATTTTGTTATTGAAAATATTGTGATTTAAATCGAGTAGACATTTTTCAGGTAATCCACTCAAGTCTTTATTTCCAATAAATGGGGTTATATTATTATTACTTGTTTCTATTGGTAGTGTATGTGAAACCAACCACTGTTGTGTACGCGCTAATTATAAGTCTTGTTTCATATGAAACAACTAAATATGCACTAAAATAAAAACTTCTTCTGTTATATTCTACACAACTAACGTTTGCAATTGACAACTTTGTTAATATTAAATAGTTAACATTACATGTGATGGTCATATGCCGCGGTTTTGACTGCGGCGAGGGTTCGAAGGTCAACGTCTCCAGGATCTGTCTTCGTCCGCGTCGTCCTCTTCCTCCTCGTCGAAACGGAGTAACGTGTCCTCTGGAAGGTCGACTGGGGGCTGCTGGAGAAATGAGGAGTATTAGGTTTTATGACTATTTACCTGGTCTCGACTGGGGGCTGCTAGAGAAATGAGGGGTATTAGGCTTTATGACTATGTACCTCCTCGCCTGGTCTTCTCAAGAGTGTCGTCTTAAAATCTATCTGCCAAGCGTGGAGAACACGGTAAATTTATCTTATGCAAAATATCTTGTGCTAGATAAATACAATATTGATATAATTTTTACTAGCTACTGTCACGCGGATTCACTCGCTGCTCGGCTCCTACATATCGTAGAGTGATGTTTTTTATTACCTTTACCTTCCTATGTTCCTTCCTACCTTTAAATTGACTAATAAACACATAATGAAATATTCAATTCTAACCAGTAGTTACGGAGATTAGCGCATTCAAACAAACAAACCCTACAGCTTTATAATATTGGTAGAGATTACAACCGTTATGGAGTAATTTCCTTTATTCGGATTCTAGACCACATGACAACATTTTTTTCTTTCTTTCAAATCTTCATCGTTTTTGGACTAATGGAACACGCCTACGTATAAGCAACCTATTGACTCGAGCCTTAAAGATACCCAGTTTATATAATTATACCCCTCCGGGAACACAGACTCCGGTCAGCTTGTTTTAAAAGGACTCTCTCTATATTATTATTTTACTAGCTTTTGCCCGCGACTTTGTTCGCGTGGACTTCAGGTTCGTCCCGTCTAGTCTAGTAAGAAATACGGTAACTAAGCACTGCAGAGCCCTAATCCTAGGTCTATAGGTAGCTACTGCAGTATGCTTCTATAAACTACATTTAACGATCTTTTTCCTTCAGCATAAACATGCAGATTCTTCGCTTTGGAAACGTAAGCGCAAAAAATGAGTTTTTTTACGACCTCACATTAGAAACTTCAAAAATTGTAGCCTTTGTGTTATTCTGATGTATAAGCTATATTGTGGTAAAGTTTCATTCAAATCCATTCAGTAGTTTTTACGTGAAAGAGTAACAAACATCCATACATCCATACTTACAAACTTTCGCCTTTATAATAGTAGTAGGATTATATGTACCTCATCCTTTTCGTCTCGCTGGTCCCCGTTGCGCGCGGGTCTCGGATCCGCGGGCCGGGGCGTGTTGTTTGTGCTCGCGTTCGTATTCGCTGTCCATGTTATCTGTTTAAGAAATGGAAATTTAGTATTATTTATGTAAATGTGTGTGTAGTTATTTTTATTAGGACAAGCCCGCCGCAACCTTCCAAAACCACTGCAACTGTTTTGAGTCTGGATCTATAATAGATACAACCATGAAAACACCGGAACACTGAAGTCCGGCGCGTCCCAGGGACATGAATGACTGTCTTGGATCCCGCAACGAAATAAATCAGAAGATATTATTTGAGGAGAAGATAAAACTTTAAGATATTTATTTATATAATAGTTTTGGATTGGCTGGCAACGAGCTGTGTATTACCTAATGCTAAGCAATTGGTGCCGCCCATGGACACCCGCAACACCAAAGGAGTTACGAGTCCGTTGCCAGCCTTTTGGGGATAAGGGTTATCGGATATTTAAGAATTGGTAAGAGGTGAGTAGAGGAGGAATTGGGCCTCTAGTAACCTCACTCACACGGCGAAACACAACGCTGTGGTTTTTACACGCCGATTGTCTGCGAGGCCGTGGTACTTATCACTCCGGTCGAGCCGACCCATTCGTGCCGAAGCTTGGCTTTCTTATACTTAGACATATTTTATGGCTGAATGGGTCTTTGCGGTGCGCAGAACGCTCGAATCTTGTTCTAGACGGGCGGCGACCTACCCTTGCTCTTCCTCCGAAGTCTGGCGCTTATGTGGGCCGGATATCATTACCCAATCGGCTCTGGCATGTCCAGAAGTGAAACAAAGGGTTGTGGTGATAATTAGGAGTAATTAAAATGGTACTTACCGACAACGTCCTATCGTTATAATGCTTCCCGTTGGCCGCAGCGTGTTCAGCATGCTGCCGCGACTTGTACTGCAGGACCAGTTGTGGCACTGACAATTCCACCTCTTTGCTTATAACCTCGCCGAATTGCTAAAACAAAAATAACATGTTTCATCATCATCATCATCATCATCACAGGAGATGGTTTGAGCATTAATCATCGGCATCGGCGATTTCAAACGTATATTAATTTCTAAATATAATTTAGAAATTGTACATTTATGAAGGTAGCCTACTATGTCATAGGCTTTTTTTTAAAAAAAAACTTTGCCCCCCTTTGGGATTTTCTCCTGTGCAAACATACAATGTCACATACACATGACACCCAGACCCGAAACAACAATTTGTGGATCACACAAAGTGTTGTTCCGTGCGGGAATCGAACCCGCGACAAGTTGCACGGCAGCCAGTTACCCAGCCGCACCAACCGTGCAGTCAAAGTCAAAAGTCTTAAGCTATAAAACCATTGCGGCTTAGTTCATTTATCGAGGATAACTATAAAACGTTACCACCAAGATAGTATTTTTGTGTATCATACCAAAAATTTATGAAATTGGGTTTCTAAAGGAGGTATTACCCTGATCATCAACTTTCACAATTCCTTTTCCCACCCCTCACCTCCACCGTGTAACACTAACTGGATAAACATGCTAAAGACAGCCCCATTCCTTCTCCTGTTCCGGACCGAGGCCACAATACATTATAGGTAATATATAACCAGCAAGTCCCGCAACCCCGATTGAGGGGAGTTTGACAAATTCTTACGATATTGAGGACGATACACCTAAATTAAAAACAAGTAGTACTTACAGAAAAATGTGCAACAAGAGCATCGAGTTCATCGGCTTCGAATCCAGAGATGAGCAGAGCCCTCGGTCTGTGATCAACGCTTTGGTTGACGCTAAACATCTTTGTCGCAATGCCGCCGCGGGTGAACCTCGTCGGAGTATTGAACCTGCCACCCCTGTGAACATTTTACACTTAAGGCTTATGTTACCGTTACATATGTCGCAGGCGTTCAATCAAACAGCTACCTCTTTGATCGCAGTATAATTTGAGTATCTAAACTATTTATTTATGACCCTTTTGTTAGGGGAAAATAATCAAATGACTTCTCCCGCCCAGGGTAAGGCCAGAGTGTCAGACTCTTACTGACTAAAATCTCCCCCCCCCCCTTCCTTCTCCTGTTTTAGGCCGTGGTCGCGAAGCCTCATTGCGCTTGCCTCGCAACGACGGCTGAACATTAGCCCTGTAGGGCCCCGTCTGTGGTGGTCTATTGGCTCTATGAGGCGAGCAGAACGCTACGCGCCGTACGCTCGGGTATTTATTTATGATCCTTAAAACCCTTATCGCCAAAAGGCCGGCAACGCAGTCGTAACACCTTTGGTGTTGCGGGTGTCCATGGTCGGCGCCGATTGCTTACCATCAGGTAATCCGTAATCGTTTGCTGACCTCTCTCATAAAAAAATGATAGCGATTTGATTTTTGTGTGAGTCGCAATTCAATTCAATTTAATTGTAGCAATTCAATTTTTATGGCAAGTCCTTCTCACTTCATCTTAAAGGCTGTATTAATTAGAAATTCAGTCATACAATCACACTCCACTCTATCTCTAATCCCAAAATCAAAAGGGATAAAATTCTTCCGAAATATTCCAAGACACTCCTTTTAACTCTTCTGGGATTGTAGATATCCATGGTTAGCACTGATTGCTTACCATCAGGTAAAAAATTTAAACATACATACATAATAACATTGCACAAATATAGTAATAATAATAGTTATGATCTCACCTAAGTTTTCTCTTCACAATACGATAGCTTGAAAATTTTACAAAATTATATAAAACATATTACATCATAGTAACTAGATCCATTCTTATTTCTATTCATATAAAAAGTCGTGTTCGTTACACTATTTATAACTCAAGCAAGAATTGCTGAACCGATTTCGTTGAGATTTGGTGGGACTGTAGATTAGAACCAGAAGAACATAAGATAGGGTTCGGTAGGGTAGGAAAAGGGGATGGTAGGTAGTGTAGGGTAGAAAGTGTCGGGTAGGTAAGTAACTGGGTAGTGTTGGTAGTCAAAGAACGGGAGCGAAACCGCGGGTAAAAGCTAGTTATACATACGAATACAAATTTAACCTTGGAACTAATAATATAGGAATCATTTGTGAATCTATAATCGCTATGAGTTGAAAAACCTTGAAAAAAGTGGAGAAGTCTTTTGTGAATTCGATATAAATTGAACTTGAAAAGGTTGTTGCTTTTTTGAAAGATATTCGCGATGAATTTAATTTTGAAACTTAATGTAGGAATCTGTTATGTATTTGTAACTGTTATGAATTGAACCTCTTAAACATTTTAGGAATATTTTTAGTATCTATTTGCTAAAGTTAAACCTTGAAAGTACTTATATGTATTATTATTTTGTATTCGCTATAGCCAACCGTCGAACAAATTGGTTGATTAAGGGCTGAATTTTCAATGGATAGATAAAAGTTACCAGGAGAAAAATTATGATGCTGTCGCGTCAGAATGTTTGTAAAAGACAGTGACAGCAACAATTTTATTCCTCATATAACATTTATCTGACTACTGAAAAATCAGCCCTAAAAAGAAGAATATTCCATGAATTCCCCTACCTTGCGTGAGGTCTCCTCATGATGTTATGCGAGGGGAACTGTATCGCCATCTGTCGGCGGAGCTCGGCAATCTTCTTCGTCAATTCAGTCACATCTTGGCCCTCCTGTTAAAGAGATTAAAGTTCTATTATACGGGTAAAACAGTATGTTTTGCTGTGAAGAAAGAAGAAGGGGGGAGGGGGGGGGGGCGTCGATTCAAGAATGGGATTCTAAGCATAATAGGGGTTTTTGAAATTTTCAACGACTCAGGAATTAGGCCCGGTAAATGGCGAAAGGCATAGTTGAGTAACATTCTAATACCGATACCGCAATTAGCAACCCAGCTAACTCCACATTTCATCAAAAAAACATCTAAAACACACAAAAGAAAATTTTTGTAAAAACTCTGACCGTATTAAAAATGGCAATTTAAGTGAACTAACGGTATTTTAGAATTCTTTATAAGTAGTCTACGATTTTTATTAATTAAAAGATAATTACTTTTTAGACTTTAACGTGTCTCCTGAAAAATTTGCTCATAATGCGCTCGGCTTGGTTGATTTGCCAATTAAGATATTCGATATGTGCGGTTTAAGTCACGTCTCTGCATCACGCTTGAACGGCTAGAAAGATTTCAATAATGCTTTTTTTGTAGGGGAAAAATCATCAAACGAGGGAGGGAGTGTCAGACTTATTGACTTCTGACTAAAAACCTCCCGTTGCTTCTCTTATTCTAGGCCGAGGCCGCGTTACCTCAATGCGCTTACCCCGCAACCCCTGCTGAATCCTTTTTATGCTGTATTTTGGTCAGGCGGAAGTTTTCTCGGGAAAATTTATAGTACCTATTGATTATTTTTGCACTCAAAAACGGCTGAACCGATTAGGTTGAAATTTGGTATGTACATAGGTGACACCGTAAATTAAGACATAGACTGCATTTTATCAACATACGCCGCGGGCAAAAGCATGGAAAATATATACATACCTGTTGTTTAGTAAACAGATCCAGTTCAGCGTCAAGAATCTCTTTCTGAGCCTCCTCTTTGGTCTTCGGTTTCTTGGCCTGATAACAAACATTACATCATATCTAATCATAGTTTATTTACAATACGACACTGTATTTACAATTCTCCCGATTGCTTGGGGATTAACGCAAACCCCGTCTTATGGGCCAGCAGTGGGCTTTTATGAGTTGTTGATTTGAAATGAAATGTTGAAATGATGGGATGAGATGAATGATGGGATTTACATTCACCATGTAGAATAATTTTACATTGTTTTTTTATATTCATTGTATCAAAACAATTACTTATTTTTGTACCGATTTTGTAAGAATGCATAAGCTTGTCAAAGAGAATATAATCAGGCACTACAATGGGCGTTTCCAACTAGTCAAATTTAATACTTTTATGCAAACGTCAAAAACGATAATTTTCTATGAAAATTGTATGAAAAACTGAGCTATGACGTCATAACATTTTTGCGTCAAATAGCTTACTTATTTCATAATAATTAGCTAAAAAAAATCTAAAACTTAGTGTATCGATCGATCGATGAAAAAAAGTATAGTTATTTTTCAATATTTTATAGTATTGAAACATCGAATTAATTTATTTTTGACCTAGGAAACTACCCAATAGTATTACTTATTTGTATGTTTAATGCTTGTCTTTTGGTCTACAGATAATAGTACTTATTATAAAATTAGAAATGGATACTGTATAGATCTGTGGACCATAAACAAGACTTGTTTTAGATTGAGACATAGTACTTTAAGTTTTTGTTTTATTTTTCTTTCTTATGCCTGTTATATTTTCGTTTAGGTACCTTCGCATTCTATATTAATGTATTTTTTGTAGTTTTTAAGTTCATGTGTTTTTTGCGCAAAATAATTGGTTTTTCTTTCTTTCTTTCTTTCAAATGAGGTTAATAATGTAAATAATAATGCGTCTCGTCCAAAAACACAATTATTTAAATAGGAAATCAAGCTTCGGCTAGGAGTGATACCACGGTCTCACGGTACGTCGGAATTAAAAAACGCTTGCGCTGTGTTTCTCCGTGTGAGTGTTGTTTTTTTATCCACTCAGGGTTAAACCCTTTAACCCTTAAGAGGGAGTTTATTGAGACGCAATGCGCAAATCGTATCTGCTATTTGGTACAGATTTGTATAGGGCATGAATTGGGGCATAATTATGAGACTGATATAAACATGAAAGATGGTTGTTTACAAAGAAAAAAAAATATGATTGTGTTTGAGTGTGTGTTAATATGTGTAATGTGTACGTGCTAGTGTATATGAGTGTTGTTTAAGTGTTATTGAAATCTTTGAGGGTATTTACGATGTACAGCTCTCGCCAAACTTTGTGGCTGCCCTGAATATAGTCGCGAGTCCGAACTTGCGCAATTGGTTACGTATTGCCCACTCGACTGTACCATGCACAAGTTCGTACTCGCGACTATATTCAGGGCGGTCACAAAGTTTAGCGCGGGCTATATGTGAGGTGACAGCAACAATTTTAGTCCTCAGATATTTATCTGACTATTGAAAAATCTGCTGAATCATGAGTTATTCATTTAGACTTATAATATCGTGGTGAAATCACTCATTTTTAGCCATGTGTGTATACATGTATGAAAGCGATGATTAGTGAACAAAAATACACTCGAAACTATTATTATTATGAGATACACTAATGTACACATCAAAATACGTTTACAGACAAACACAAACCAATCGCAATATTAATATGTTGATGGAATGCAAACTTTAATTAAAACAAGTTAAAATTAAACTTAGGTACTACTAACTAGCAAATTTCTGCACTATTAAAATTTAATGAATGTAATAATACATGTCAACCTTCCTCTTCAATTATTCTATCCTATTAAAAAAAAACGCATCAAAATCCTTTGAGTAGATTTAAAGATTTAAGCACACATAGAGACATAGGGCCAGAGAAAGGGACTATGTTTCATACTACTTCGCAACGGATTTTGATGGAGTTTTTTTAATAGATAGGCACCCGGTTTCTGAAAGGCTTGTCAACGCTAAAATTAACTAATTTCCTGTTAAATCTCTTGTCAAGTCATCTGATTGGTTGTTGATAATTCAGTCAACCAATCAGATGACTTGACAAGAGATTAAATTGATTTTAACATTGATCGGCCTTTCGGAAACCGGGTGATAGTGATTGAAGAGAAAGGATTATAATAAAATGTATCAACATTCATTAAATAATGGAGACATTTAGGATCAGGATTGCACCCGCGGGAAGCCGGAACGGGGCGCTAGTTATAAATAAAAATGAGAAAATAATCCCTAAATATGTATTACATCCCATCAACATATTTCGCTATATATATGTATATTATGTACAATATACATAACAACTATATGTGTAGATGTATAGCCACAATATTAGTAACTATGTACGTCAATACTATGAGAATGACATTTACAATCACAATGGCTATTAGTTGCTATCGTCTGAATATAAGTGGTCTGATTAGCTTTTCAGGGTTTTTTGTGAGGAGAAAACCATCAAATGACTTCGGGAGGGAGTGTCAGACTCTTACTGACTAAAAACCCCCCTGTTCCTTCTTCTGCTCTGGGCCGCGGTCGCGGTGCCTCATTGCGCTTACCCCGCAACCCCGGCTGAAAATCAGCCCTATAGGGCCCCGTCTGTGACTCGGGTCTGGTTCTGGTCGGGCGGCGAGTTGCCCTTTTTACCGTCCGCAGACCCGCGCTTACGGTGGAATCCGCGCTTGCGGTGGCATCTTTTTAGGGTGGGGTGAGGTGACGACGGGGATCAGGGGGTAGGGTTAGAAAATATGAAAAAACATCTATAGGGACTTTTAAAAACAATTATAGAACTGCCCGTGTCTAATTTAAAATGAAGAATGAGCAAGAATATTCATCGTTTGAACGTCGTCGTGGCCAGGAGGTTATGGGGCTGCTTCTCATGCACGAGGGTTTAGGCAATGTTTTCTCAGAGTTAAATTTACTTTCTAAAATATGGAAATAACGAGACAATCTTAGAGAATTCTATTCAGGGGTACTACCAACTTTTGTGTTATGAAGAGGTGGTCTGAAGGTAAAATCGCAAACTTCTCAAGCATGAGGGCGCAGTTTTCAACATGGCAAGTACTTTATATGACTTATCCGATTTATATGCACTTTCTATGATTATTTACACACCACTGATATACTGTGAGGGAACACATCTTGAGGAAACTGGACTTACAATTTCTAATTATAAGTTTGAAATTGCCAATCCGGCTTGAGCGAGCGTGGTGGTAAATGCTCAAACCTTCTCCATCTAAGAGGCCTTTGCTAAACAGTGGGCACTTATAGGCTGATGATGTATGGATCTAGTACAGAAGTCAGACCACTTATACAGACAATCAGATCAAATGTAAGAATAACATATAATGTACAATGCTTCGTAACTAAATGACAAAGAACAAGTTGCGGTACGCATGCGTGATTCACAAAAATATTATGTAACTAATGGAAACGGGATAAGGACATCGCTATGATTTTTTTTTTAGTTCTAACGCTAGTTGATTAAGTAACGAACAAATGCTAGTTATAATACCGTAAATACAAAAGCGCAAAAGTCGAAATCATGTATAATTTTTTTGCGCAATAGTTGATAATAGCGCTGAACTTTTTGCGCATATTTTGTGCTTGCGCTATTTAATTAGCGCAAAATTGGAATTGCGCTAAATATTTTGCGCAAAACCACTTGTAAACATTTATATTAAGTCACAACACATATTTGTCGATATGCTTGTCTGTTAGGTCAAATTGCGATAAGGATTATCGGGCCTCGGATTTTATATTCTCAGTAAAATCACGGTGTCCGTAACCACATTCAATGTATGGCAATAAGCTGCTCAACAATTTCATTTATAATATCTAATCAAAAGTGCATTTAAAATGTTATGAAATTGAGATTACAAAATACATTCCGGTGTCATATATAGAAAAATGAAAGTGCAGTTTTAAATGTTTCAGAATGCATAACAATCGTGGAAATCACAATGCAACACATTCTTTAAATATAGGCTATGAAGAGTGCACTTGAGATAGAAACAGCTACTCAATTAAAACTGATATTATAAAGTAACAAGAACATAGTGCCTGTTTCACAACCTTTATATAAGTTGTCGATAAATTTATGTGGCACATAGTTCGTTCTACATATTATTATATATATGCAAATGGGGATGTTATGTTTCATTCTTAATGTCCGTCCGTTTGCTTAAAATAAAATATTAGACAAGTATTTGTGATTTTACGATCGACTTAGTACATTTTACACTGAGCAATCTCCGAATACTAAACTTACAATACGGTAGTTTCCAACTAGTCAAATTCAATACTTTTATTGTAATGTAAAAACGATAATATTCTATGAATTCTGTGTGAGATCACAACATATGACATCATTATGTTTTAACGTTAAAAGGCATACTTATTTTTTTAAGGTTAACTAGAAAAAATATAAAATAAATCGTTAAATCAATTAATGAAAGTGTTAAATAAATTCATTGTATTTAAAAGTTAAAATAATTTATTATTGATCTAGAAAACTACCCAATTCGGGTTGTGTCCCTTATCGTCAATATGTTTTCTTTTTCAAGAAATTAGACAACTGCTAATTTCTTTCTTAAAGAGCGAAAGAACTCGAAGTCGCTAATTTTAAATACCTAATAATAAATAATTTAACGCAATTCAAAAACAAAACACAAGCTAACATTTTTTTACTACCACAAGTTATATCGATCCGAATCTGTTACACTAATCACAAATCAAACATCCCGCAAAGAACAGACTTTCGGAGCGAAAAGAGAAAAGATGAAATTTCTACAAGAAAAATCACCTCAAGAGTGAAAAAAGTGAAAATTTTCGAGCAATAAAATTTCGAAAACATGTTATATATGCACGTCATGCGAAACGCAACTGATCCTGTACCTGAGCGAGGTGTAGCCGAGACATATTCCTTGCGACCGACTCGTCCTGTCGTATTACAACCATTTTATTGTAACATTCAATAC